TCATCACTCAATGTAACCACAATTGTTGCTTCAAAGCTCATTCAACTTAGCATATTAATTATAAATGATGCGTGTCGTTTTTGTACTTCTCCGTCGTATTCGCAGCCCTTAAAGTTACTCACGTTGATTCCATGACCAAAAAATATTGTTTCGGCTGTTTCTTTTGTTATGTCTCGTCTCGTACGGTTTCGAATTTGCAACAATGTAAACTTAATTATGTGACGGGTTGAATATCGAGGGTTTTGTTGAGAGTATTATCCCACATCGACAACATATAACTTAAGGTATATTTGGGCATCTTTGTTTTATTTAAGACAATCATTATGGATTCGTATGAAATACTAATTGGAATTTCAGATTATTTAGCCCCTAAACCAAAACGGACAGCTAAAAGTTGAAGTATTTAGGTTTGTTTCCTGTGACACCGTGAGTTGCATAAAAGATGGCATAAGACAAGTATTGCAGAAAAGACACTCACATGTATTAAAAAAACTGGGTTACGAATTTCAAAAACTGAAAGCTGTTTGGCTGTTTTCTACTTTTTAAGGCTTCACGCAATTCGGTGCAAAGTGGAAAAACTGTCCCTCCCAAAATACTCAATTTAATGGCGGGAAAGAGCTCAGCCAAAAGCCCTAGTTTTTCATAATTTCATTGGGCAAATATAATTATATATATATATATATGATCCTGATCTTGGCCACTTTTGGACTCTCATTTCTAAATCGTCATCATAAACACAATTACGAGATATTTAATTGCGATATTTTAACATGTTATGTTGTCAGATTATTAATTTTAGTCATTTATTTTAACGGATTCGAAGTTTATTTTATTAATAATTTAGATTGACAATCTAACACTAGATTTGTTTATCACAAATGATTAATATATATATATATAACTCACATCCTACTACTTGATCATATTCTAAAATTAGCAATGATCATAAAGCTTAGCATCATTAGCCAATTGCCACCCAATTGGAAAAAATATATTCCTTTCTGGGTGGGTAATTAATATTAATGTAACAATTGGGTAGGGGGCATGAAAGGCCATGATGGGCATTACATTTGCAAGCAACTCCCTCTTGCAAGAAATATCCCCTCTTCAGTGTCCTTAAATTATATTAATTGAAGACAGTTCATTCACTTTTCTTCTTCATTCACTTTCTTCATGCTTCTTCAACTACAATATGCAAATTTTCCCTTAAGTTTTCTCATTTGCCCTTTTGTTCATTTAAAAGATCTTTGCAAACGGGGTCTAGCCCAGTGAAAAATGGTATTTATTTGCAGACCAATCGTCTCATGTTCGAATCCCCATGGAATTTTGGTTGTGTATATGAAAAACCTCCCTCTCCTGTAGTTTAACAAGTCGCTTGTGCAATAATAAAAATCCGAAAATATAGTATATATATATACTGAACAGGAAATTTCTGTACTATATTATATCTGAGTGTCCCATATGTTTGAACTGTTGCAGGAAATGAAAGTTCCATACTGCATCTTCTGTAATAATATAACAATTATTGCATACATAAAATAATTTTTTTCAAATGAAAGTCATATTTTAATACACTCAACGAAAGAAAACGCGTTATTGTTTGGTTCAGTGATCTGATGTTCTGATTCTTCTCCAGAGTCAGCAGCACAGAAGCTAACATGCATAGAATAGACAACAAATTTTGTTTTCCCATTAAAAAACAAGGCACGTACATCCAATGAATGGAAGTGAAAAGGCAAAAATACCCTTCACGAAATAGCTAGCTAGTCTTCTAGAGGCTCATATAAATAATTATAAGTTTAATTAATTAAATTTAGGACGATGTTAATTAAGGGAATTAGGTGTTTTGTATTAAACTAATAATGCATGGTGGATGGTAGTGGAGGAGGAGTGCATGCAAGCCCCTTTCAATCTTTTCGTGACTTTGCTTTGCTTGCTTTGTTTGGAGGACTCTTAACAGATGTACTAACAACATATGTCATTATAAATACCTTTTATAAAAGTTCTTTGGCCCTTTTCCTTTTCTTTTCTTCCTTTTACTTGTTCATTCCGGCAAGTAAGCCATCGCTATTTCTTTGTTTTAATTGGTGTCTCAAATTGAAAGTTTTCCACATTTTCCTAATTCAATATGACCAAAGATGGAAGTGTGTATAGATATGTATGTGTAGGTATGTTTGGCAACAACATGCATATGCATGCATTATTGAGAGAAATAACCAAAACTAACCACAAAGATCGTCCGATCTGGTAGATTAGATTAGATCGGTCAAATTTAGTCACATTTTATTACAAAAGTACGCGTTTGTGATTTATTTAAGAATCAATTTACGAGATTCTAGAATAATGTTTGTAGTCACTGAAATAAATGAAATGTCAAAAAATAAAATTTAAATCTAAAATATATTTGTTGTTATCAAAGTTAATTGATTTAGAAAACAAATATTTGTAACTTATTGCTAATTCCTTGCAATTATTGGGGAAAAAAGACATAATTATTTTAGTTAAAACTTGCTTTCCGAAGAATTTTGCAGGAGAATAAAACTAACCCTCGAGACATAATTATGCCCGTGCAAGTCTTGTTGCAACTGCAAAGCTATGGACCTCCACTTTGGTTCCTTTTTGTTTTTCATTTCTTCCTTACTTAGATTGAGTGGATTAGAAGACATGGCAAGAAGTTTGGTTAAAAGCAAAAGCCATTATCTTTAAAGGTTTTCTCTATATATAGTTGCCCACAAATACGTGATCATCATTGATTGGTGTATGAGATTTATGCATTGATTTGCACCAATTAGTCATTATCAGTTATCCGCATACGTATAAATGAGCGATTGAAGTCCGGCACCATTGAAACTCTGACTATACTTTTTCTTAATTTAATTAAGAGAGTATGCAAAAGTGGTTCATAAGTACTGGTTGGTAGACAGGTAGTTGCATTTGAAGCAATCTGCTAGGAGTTGCAAATTAATTCTTGCAATAAAAATCTTACGTTCCATCTTTGTATTAGACTTCTTATGAACTCTAGCTATATGCTGTACTTCTCAACGCCATGACACACTTTTGGTTGCAAAAACATGTCTTTACCAACTTGATCATCAATAGCCGCATTGATTTTGAGATAGTGTGTGTGTGGCAACAACAACGCCCTGCTGAAATTACCAATCTGTGCCACTATGAAACTTATACATCAACCATAGCAATCATCACCATCTTAATCATCATTTAATCAATATTGGATTTGGAACTAGTTAAGAACAATGTTTAACAATCCACTTATCATCAACATTCTTCTTGATTAATAAACCATCTCCTTTCGTAATCAATAAACTAATTATTATCTGACAATATATTTTTTATAGAGAAGATTTGAATCCCCTTATGTTACAAGTTCATGAATTTATGGTTTATCATTCACATAATTATACATGTTTGATAATTAAAATAGGCTCGTAATGTCACGTCAACATGTCACTTAATGTCAGTTTGGCATTGCTTATTTGGGGTGATAAGTGATTTTTAAAAAATTTTGAGAAGCCCAACCTGTTTGGTAAATTGTGAGAAAATTACTTATTGTTAAAAATTGTTGTGAGAGAAAACTATAAGGGAAAGAAGTTAATGAGATGCTTTTATTTTCTGATTATGTAGGAATCAGTTTCGAAGAGGCGCTAGGTTTAATGATTATGCTGCAATCATTTTCTGATTATGCGTAAAATCAATACTAACAACATTTTTAACAAATTTTGTACTAAATGCCAAACTACTTTATCTCATAGCTGATTTCTCGTACAACAAATATAATAACGATTATTTTCACAGTACAACAATGCCAAATTGACCTTTAGTTTTACTGTCATACCTTAAAAATTAACTCCTAATATTAGAGTATTTTTTTTGTCACAAATTTGTCCCAATGAAAAGTCCAAGTAGTCAGCTGGTGATTCTCAAAATCCAAGCCCGTGACAAAATTGACAAACAAATTTTTCTAAGCATCGTCGAAAATCAAAGACCAAAAAAATTAACGTAATTGCCAAGAGAGATGCTCCCCTACGCGCCTAACCCACAAGTGAATAGAACTTCCCAATATATACCCAAAAAAATCAACCAATTGAATTTCCTTGTAAAAAGAAAACAATTTGATATGAGTTCCTTTAACAGTTACTATAAATAGAATTTTTTTATAAAAAATTTTAATAAGTAGGAAAATAAGTTGGTACTGAATTTGGTGTTTATTGTCACGCGCTTTATACGTGAGTGGGTCTAAAATCTACAAAACAAAACATAAAAGATCTCGGCCGATATATTGGAAACCGACCGTATGGGGATTGAGTTGAGAATCTTTGTGTTATAAAAAGAGAAAACGACCCCATGAAAACAAACAGCCAAACAGACATTTAACCCTAAATTACAGTTTTCTAATACTTGCCATTTGTTTTTTCCCCCCTTCCTTTCAGGCCAAAAAACAAAAACAAGAAAATTAATATTTTTGTTATAAAATTTTTTATTTTTTGACAAATTTTTTAAAATTTATTTAAGTAATAATGTCCCCAAAATTAAGAAGGGAACTCAATTGATCAATTGGGTAGAGCTCCTTGTTCTGTTAGTGTGGCCAAAATTGTGGGTCCCAAAGGCCTTGAAATGGGGCCCACTCTCGCTTTCAAAGCCTCCATACTTCAGTGTTTATAAGCAGCTACAAAGCACCTTCATTTTCGCACACTAATTCACACTTACTGGCAAGCAACTGCACTAGTCTGAAAAGAAGCATAGCTCTTAAATCTCATTTTCCTTTTTTCTCCCATTTTTTCCTAGAAAGAAAATAAAGAAACCTCTCAGACAAAGAAAAAGGAAGACATAAACCAGCTGGGTTACCTTGTCTTTCTCCCCATCACCAAAAGAAGCATATAATAAAGTGGCAAAGAAACAGAGAGAATAATAGCAGCAAAAAGGCCATTGTTTTGGTGGTGAGCTCAAGGGTGGAAAGCTCAAATTTGCTAGTTTTTTTTTGTATGGGGTTGAGGCTTGTAATGCGGAATGTGCTAGTGCTCCTGGTGGTGTTGTGTTCATGGGTTGGTTCTGCAAAAGCCTCTGTGTCTTATGACTCTAAGGCTATTGTCATTAATGGGCAGAGGAGGATCCTCATTTCTGGATCTATTCACTACCCAAGAAGCTCCCCTGAGGTAATTTTATACAAATGTGCTTCAAGGGTCTCTCCAAGTTTCTGTCTTTTCACCTTCTTGCTCTCTCTAAATTCTTTTCTCCAGCTGGGCACCTCTATCTTCACATCCTCATCCTCTTTTTTCTTTTTCCTGGTTGTAAAATTACTTAACTTCAGTTTTGGGTTTATTGTTTTGCTGTCCTTATGTGTTGGGATTTTTTGGTTTGTTGCAGATGTGGCCAGATCTTATTCAGAAAGCCAAGGAAGGAGGTTTGGATGTGATTCAGACTTATGTTTTCTGGAATGGGCATGAACCTTCACCTGGCAAAGTAATTGACAGTGACACCTTATGTTTTTGATGCTTTATTTTCTGGCCATGCAATTACACATTGCAATTGTTTTCTTAATTTTTATTTTAATTATTTTGCAGTACTATTTTGAAGACAACTATGATCTGGTCAAGTATATCAAGCTGATTCAGCAGGCAGGCTTGTATGTTCATCTCAGGATTGGTCCTTATGTTTGTGCTGAATGGAACTTCGGGTAATAATTATGAAATTTCTAAAAATAGCAAGATACCTCATCTCAGTCCAGTTTAAAGTTATGAGATTATAACAAAATTAATTGCTTCAATTTTCAGGGGATTTCCTGTATGGCTCAAGTACATTCCTGGTATCCAATTCAGAACAGATAATGGGCCTTTTAAGGTTTGGCATTATCATCCGTAGACCCGAAGTTTCCTTTTACATATATAATACTTATTTCCACTGACTACATTTGTTTCTGAATTACCATTGTCAAGGCTCAAATGCAAAGGTTCACAACAAAGATTGTAAATATGATGAAAGCAGAAAGGTTGTTTCAGTCTCAAGGTGGCCCAATAATTCTATCCCAGGTAGCCAAAGTACACCATTGTAGTATTTCCTTGAATCCAATCTGCTGCTTTTAGTTTTCCTAGCAAAAAATTTGCTCAAGTTTTCCCAATTTTGTCACACAATTTGATGAATGGAGCTAGTAAACTGAGAGAAGTTTATTCTACTATCAACTTCTGTGACAGATTGAAAATGAGTATGGACCCATGGAGTATGAACTTGGTGCACCGGGCAAAGTCTACACTGAATGGGCAGCTCATATGGCTTTGGGACTAGGCACTGGTGTCCCCTGGGTCATGTGCAAACAAGATGATGCCCCTGATCCTATTGTAAGAGTCCCCTAACTTTTTTGTTTCTTCACCTTTCTTCCCTGTCATGTTCTGGAACCCATTTGTGTGTTCCCTCATTCTTAGTGGGAAATAGTGTGTTGTCTCCGATCCGAGTTAGTCATGGTTTATATGAATGATGATTCCTCATTGCACATGGCTAAGCTTTGCTCTCTCTCTCTCTCTCCCGTAGGTCACAGTAGTTCTTTATTTCTCTTGGCCCTCTTTTTGTAATGATTGAATGGTGGCCAATGGCCATGTCTGTTTTTTTAAATTATATTCATGCCCTTTTCAACTTGGGTTGGTGGTGCTGTATTACTAAAGCCTTTTCTTATCTTGGACATGCTGGAAATATGTTTGTTTTGTAACCTGATTTGAGAGTCATGACTTTGGTTGAACTTTCAGCTATTAAGTATATATGTTTTCATTTTCCTCGGTGCTACTTGTTATTCCTTCTTGTGTGTGTGTGTGTGTGTTTTATTCTCTCGGTTTCTTATTTTCCTAATAAATTTTATCTCAACAGATTAACGCATGCAATGGGTTCTACTGTGACTACTTCTCTCCAAACAAGGCCTACAAACCAAAGATGTGGACTGAAGCCTGGACTGGATGGTACTTTTTCATGCTTGTCACCTTTAATAGGAACCAATTCCTGCATTTGTACCACCTACCTAAGGATTATAGGTAATAATAGCTCATGGGTTTCTTCTCATTATACTTGATCTCTATTGTTTTGCAGGTATACTGAGTTTGGAGGTGCAGTTCCTTCCCGACCAGCTGAGGATTTGGCCTTTTCAGTTGCGAGGTTTATACAGAAAGGTGGATCATTCATTAATTATTATATGGTAAGGTTATTTTCTGGAAGTTACTAAGTGAAATCAAATTCCTGAACATGTCCAGAAAATGCAATTTACATGTCTTATGATTCCAGTACCACGGAGGAACAAATTTTGGCCGAACAGCTGGTGGCCCTTTCATTGCTACTAGTTATGATTACGATGCTCCCCTTGATGAATATGGTATGTGCCAAGGATTTGAGTTCTATAAGTTATTAACATTTGACTTTGTGCACTCTGAATATAAACTCTTAAGTAGATTATAAATTTTTTTGGTTTTTTCTAGCTTCTATAGTGAGAAAAGGTGGGAATTAAGTTTAAATTCCATATTCTCTATGCCTGATGTATCATACTGTCAACAAGCACCCTTTGCCACATGACAGCCAACTGCGTGCTTGTCACTTTCACCATATGGCAAGAGCCAAGAGGGCAAGCCAGTTTATCATCTTTGCATTTTGGTATATTAATGATAGTGTCCTACCATTTTGTGATGGGGTCTGTTGTGATTGGTGACATTATTGTCATTGAAGTGACTAGATAGAAGCTGAACTCTGTTTAACGGGTGGCACCTGATATCTGGTAACAAGAGATTGACTAACAAGTGACTGCAAGAAGCATATATATACTCTCTCTTTGAAATTTAGTCATAGAGTTCCCCTTTCTCCCTGTATAAAGGTTGATTGCCACATACAGTTAGCCATCGTAGAACTGGGAAATTAAAAAAAAGAAGCAAATTTGGATGCGCATATTACTCCGTCTTGTGTATATATATATATATATATATATATATATATATATATTAGTGTATTTGATAGGTTTGGCACCTGAAGGGCCATATATAAACTAACCCTAATTTTATCCGGCAGTTTTTTATTTCCCCTAAAGTAGTTTCAAGTTTAAAATGGATTAAATAAATCTGTAAAGATCCATATTTTTGCTTAAAAATGACAATACCTTCCTCTTTCTTTATGCAGGATTATTAAGGCAACCTAAATGGGGCCATCTGAAAGATCTGCATAGAGCAATAAAACTATGTGAACCAGCTCTAGTTTCTGCAGACCCCACTGTTACACCACTTGGGACTTACGAAGAGGTTAATCTACTTAAGATTCTCAGAAATTTTGGTATCCTTTTTCAAATTGATTTGGATGATAACTAACCTGTTGTTACCATGGTTTATAGGCTCATGTATTCAAATCGAAGTCTGGAGCATGTGCTGCATTTCTTGCAAATTACAATCCAAGATCATTTGCAAAGGTGGCATTTGGGAACATGCATTACAACCTGCCTCCATGGTCTATTAGCATTCTTCCTGACTGCAAGAACACAGTTTATAACACTGCAAGGGTGAGTTAAAGAGCTTTTGATAAACTGCATTGTTGTCAGGATGGATTTGGAGCTACATATAATGGATGTCAAGTTGCTGAAATATTTCTAGCTTTAATAGATTGTTTAAATAATTTGCCTGCTAAAAAGATATTCTGAAAATTGTATTCAAGTAGATATTGTACAATAAGAGTTGATTTTCACATCATATTCATGATTTAGATGATCTGTAGTTTTGAGCTTCTGTTCTGCATGTATTCCTTGATGCAAAGAAATAAAAGGGATATCCTTTCTAGATTTTTTGGACAATAAAAATTATGATGTTTCACGAATATATGTGTACAGGTTGGTGCTCAAAGTGCACAGATGAAGATGCCCCGTGTTCCTTTGCATGGAGCATTCTCTTGGCAGGCTTACAATGACGAGACTGCTACTTATGCTGACACTTCATTTACCACAGCCGGGTTGTTGGAGCAGATAAATACCACTAGAGATTCCTCTGATTATCTGTGGTACCTAACAGAGTGAGTAACATATACCCGTTCAGTCTTTTTCCATGAACATTTTGTCTGAAGCAAAATACCTGTGACATATTTATATGAAATTCTCATCTTATTCTCTTCCCTTTCCAGTGTTAAGATTGATCCCAATGAGGAATTTTTGAGAAGCGGAAAGTATCCGGTACTGACGATCTTATCAGCTGGTCATGCTTTGCGTGTTTTCATCAATGGTCAACTTGCAGGTATGCAGCTTATTGCTGGTTTAAAGTGTTTCTGATCATGCAACTTGAACAAAGTGGTCCAATTCTGTCATACTAAACAATAAATTGCTTGGACTCTGTAAAGTGAAATATGATCCATAAGTTTGTACAGCACAGTTTGAAGTATTCGCTTTATGTTGTAATTTCAGTATTTTCCCTTGATCCAACAAGTAACCAAAGTATATACATATAAAGAACTATTTTTTGTTCACACATGCTAATTGATTATTTGATTATTGTATAATATCCGCCCATAACCTTCTATTACTGATTTTTTGCTCAGGAACTTCATACGGAAGTTTAGAATTTCCAAAACTTACATTTAGTCAAGGTGTGAATTTGAGAGCTGGTATAAACCAGATTGCGCTTCTAAGCATTGCTGTTGGCCTCCCGGTGTGTTCTCTCTCTCTCTCTCTCTCTCTCTCTCTCTCTCATGTACACACACCCAAAGAATTTAAAATTTGACTTTGTATTGTCTGCGTTTTGAGTTCAGAATGTTGGTCCACATTTTGAGACTTGGAATGCTGGTGTTCTTGGCCCCGTCATACTAAATGGTCTTAATGAGGGAAGGAGGGACTTGTCATGGCAGAAATGGTCTTATAAGGTATGCTTTCGCATTCTACTTTGCCTTCTCTTATTGCCCTGTGACATTTGAGAGATTCATTAAATTGCATACCCTCATTCAGGTTGGGCTTAAAGGAGAAGCCTTGAGTCTTCATTCACTCAGTGGGAGTTCCTCAGTTGAGTGGATTCAGGGGTCTTTAGTCACAAGAAGGCAGCCTCTGACATGGTACAAAGTGAGTAAATCAAACTTCAACTGACCTTATTAGTCTGCTTGTTTCCTGAGGTTACAACATATATAAATTCTGTTAGAGCTTGGGTCACAATCATATTAAAATGCGTCCTTTTTGTTATGGTTCTAGACAACTTTCAATGCACCAGCTGGAAATTCACCATTGGCTCTAGATATGGGCAGCATGGGAAAAGGTCAAGTATGGATAAATGGCAGGAGTATTGGACGCTACTGGCCTGCTTATAAAGCATCCGGTAGTTGTGGTGCCTGTAACTATGCTGGGACATATCATGAGAAGAAATGCTTAAGTAACTGTGGGGAGGCTTCCCAGAGATGGTAAGTAAATGTTATTTGTAGCTCTGGTTATGCTTTCACACAGGTAACTGACAAACTGGTTACTTGTTAATAATTTCAGGTATCATGTTCCTCGCACATGGCTAAATCCAACAGGCAATTTGTTGGTTGTCTTAGAAGAGTGGGGTGGAGATCCAAATGGGATATTTTTGGTCAGAAGGGAAATAGATAGCATATGTGCTGATATTTATGAGTGGCAACCAAATCTTATGAGTTGGCAAATGCAAGCCTCAGGCAAGGTCAAAAAACCTGTGAGGCCTAAAGCCCATTTGTCATGTGGCCCTGGGCAGAAAATATCATCAATAAAGTTTGCTAGCTTTGGAACGCCAGAAGGGGGTTGTGGAAGCTTCCGTGAGGGAAGCTGTCATGCGCACAATTCATATGATGCTTTTCAAAGGGTATACTACTACTATCTTGCACAACTTGTTTCATATTTGTTTTCTTGTATTCAAACTGATAAATTTGCTAGCAACTCCTGCCACGGAACTTCCTTCTGAGTTTACTGGTTCTCGAAATACTCAGCTCTAACCAGAAAGTTTTTGGTCTTATAGACAAATCCCTTGTTTCTCATTGTCCAATGCTGATCCATGTCAACAAAGAGTCCAGCTGTGGCCTCATGAACTCAGTTGTTTCAAAAGAATCCAAATAGTTTCACCAATCACACAAAATAAATTTTTGCCTCTTAAAGGCTCATTTTGATTTTTTTAGGCCAACTTATCTCAGTTTAATGCTTTATTACTTGGGTTTTTTTTTTTACTCCTACCTCCCTTCCCATCATACATAAATATTAAACAATGACTTTATTCTTGCAGAGTTGTATTGGGCAGAACTCATGCTCAGTAACTGTAGCACCTGAGAATTTTGGAGGTGATCCATGTCCAAATGTCATGAAGAAACTCTCTGTGGAGGCCATTTGCAGCTAGTGATTCTCAGTCTCTCAAGCAAACAAATGAAGGTCGTATATTGATTTCTTTACACACCAATACAGCAATCAGTTAATTATCCTGGGGTATGTTCAGTACACACAAGGTCAGTGCAACCATTTGGTCCATTCAATTTTGGCTCTTCCAGGGTGAAGTTGTACAAATATACAACACACCACATGGTTGAAAGCCTATAGAGTTTGAGATGTTTGTGGAGAAGCTGTATGTATATACTATCCTCTGTTGTCATCGGTGCCCTGCATGCTACAAAAATGGCGGAATCAATGTGGGGATCGAAAGCACATCGAGATGATACTAATTGAGTCCATGTGCAAATGTTGTAGTTAGTATGGAAGCATCTGGCTTCCAAGTAATTGAAATATTTCAATTGTTATGTATTTGAGAAAGCAATAGTTCCATTGCTTTGTCCTTGTAAGAAAGTTTCCAATGGTAATAATAGAAAGTGCAATTGCTTTGTTCTTGTGAAAGTTATTCCAACCTCACTTTAATTGTGGTAAGTTTACTAACACATTTATGCATGAAACTGTCAAGTTTGTCCTGGCTGGCCTTTCCTTGAGATCTTACGTGACCATTCCATCACATGGAACATGGGTGCACCTGTACGGACATGAATGCAGGGCACCTCTGATTTGCCAGAATGGTAATTAAATTAAACAATAGGTTACGTAAAGTAGCAGAATAAGAAAATGGTAATTAGAACTTTCAAGATTTCAAAACAAAGTGGGATTTGAACAAAGTTAATGTGCCACCAATAGGAGAGGTTTGTGGTCCCATCACATCATATGGTCATTTCTTAGTTGACCATTGACACCTCTAATGTCTTCATCCGATGAAGCTTATCAGAAACTAGTCCCTCTCTGTACGTAACGTATCATCAAAACCAATTTCATATACTTCTAGTCTATTTTTTCGACAAATTCAAATCAAGGGGTCAAATATGAACCTTATTATACGTTTAGAAGTACTCAAACCACCTTATAAAAATACAATCTTGAATGCCAATCTCCAAAGAAAAACCTCAGAAGCCAAAAAATGAAATCCAACAACAGCTTAATTTGATCTATGTGCATATATATTATATATAACATAGAAGTATACAATTTTGAGTTTTACACTCAATATCCTATTAGAAATGCTATAGTTAGTCGTTCATTCACTGTGAATGATTTCTAAATATACACGAGTTTTACAATAAAATCCACATGCATGAGCTGTTAAATTTCAATTAGGTTTACAAACAACTGATCCTAGCATTTCCCAAAATACCATACACAGTTTGTTATGTGATACAAAACGACAGCCCATGTCGCACACGTAGGCCCAAATCATCCTCCATAGAAATGAGAAAATTAGAAAAGCAACACAAGGTGTGAGACTGAGTGAAAGCGAATAAGATAATAGAAGCTTCAGAGCAGCGTACTAGGAAAGAACCAAAACCATTTTCTCTCATTTCATTTCTCTCTCAGCAGTTTGCCTCACTTTCAATCAATCAGACCCCCACACCACTTTTACTTTAAGACTCACAAATTCACAAACTCTAAATTAGCAACATTCACATATAAGGCCCATATATATATCCTCTCTCTATCTCTCTCTGCTCGTCTCTCTGTTTTTGGTGAATGACGCGTTTCAATGGCGGCTTCGCCTTTGTATTTATCCAATCTGGCTTCTAAATTGCCAATCCCAATACAGTGTCACTCTCAAACACAACCCATGTTCTCTTTGTGCGCGTTCATCTTCTTCTTCACCTTCTCTCTCTTCATCTTCTCCTTCTCTGTTTTCAAAATTCTGAGAAAAACAGAGCAAAAGCAACAGACCCAGAACGACCTTTTTGAACTCAAGCGTTCATTGTCTGAAACTCTGGGGAAAACCCAGCTAACCCATGAAAATGACCCGACCCATATCTCCAATCCACCCCACAAGCTCCTCGTTGAGATCTTACCATCTGATTCTCCAAAATGGGCGAGCTTGTTTGTGAACAGAGAAGGTGGTGACCCGGATGACGCCGGGTCGGGTCTGGACGTGGAGAAACTCGGGTCGGGCGGGGATCAGAGAGTGAAGAAGAAGAAGAGGAGAGCCAAGAAGAAGAGTTCATCGCATTTGGAAGAAGAAGAAGAAGATAGTGGTATTCATATCCGTGACACGGAAAATTCGGGTCCGGGTTTGGGGTTCTCGGGTCCATGAGGAATTGGTATGTTTTTACCCGTTTACATCATCGAGTAGTGCCACACAAAGGAAGATCAAGCAACAATACGATGAGCTTATGAAGTGCCATGAGTCCAAGAAATTGACACTTGCTCAGGTTCTTAAATTTCGTTCCCAAAGGTTTTATATTTTTAATTGTCATTTAAAAAAATAACGTTTTTCTGTTTAGTTGTGGTTTTTTACTGTGTCATGTTATAGAAATGGATTTGGTTTTTGTTTTTGTTTTTTGTTTGTTTCACAAGGGTTTTATAATTAATGTAGTGATTACTGATATCTGTGTGGTTTGGTTTAATTCGTGTTGTGCCTAACTTGTCCTTGCTGATGATAAATGTAATGGAGCACAATTGATTTTAGCTGTAACTTGTACGGTTGAGATGAGATACCTTTTGAAATTTGAAAAAAAATGTGCGATATGTACATTCATCTTTAAGATATTAGAAGAGTCTTAAATGGTTCTGCCTAATTCTATCCTTTTTCTTGCAATGAGGAAATACACTGCATGGAGTAGTTTTGTTGCACTCTTACAATCTACTCTTCTCTTTAAACGTGGTTACGCCATTACAGAAGCGTAGGATTAAATTCGTTGGTTAGATGGTTACTTCAGCAGGAAGCGATATCTGGCATCCCTAGTGTGAAAATAGGAAGACTTGTGAATAGATATTTGAAATAATGTATGGAATCTTGAGCAGGTGGAGAATGAGGTAACAATTAGTTCCTTCATATGATGATACTGAGACCATTAAGAAGTTAGAGTGTTGCCATTTGCTTGATTCCTCCCAGTGCAATTTGGGTTTGGATACATCATTTTGAAATCTTAATTGTGGTTCTGTGAGGATTTTTATATGTTAAGGGTCACCTTTTAGTCTTGGCTGAGAAAGTGATCAACTTATGTTAACTACGTCTAAGGTTAGAGGTACAAATGAGGTTTAACATCTCAAAATCTATATAAACAGCTCATTAAATAAACGAAAGATGAAATGTTGGATTCAAGGATATGAGCTTATATTATATTGTAGGCTTTTTCGCATTTCCCATAAAATGGACTAAATGACTTCATGGAATTTCTTGTGGAATAAAATGCCTCAAATATATTTCAGTATTGTTATTCTTTACCATAGTTGATTATTTTTACACTTTCGAATCTTGATTTAGTGTTATAGAAGAATCAGATAGCTTGAGCTTATGGGAGTTTGCACCTTCAGGTCATCTTATTGTCTGCTAGTCAAATTAGGTCCTGAAAATATCAATCTATTTATTATCTCGGGAACACATGGAATGAATGAAGTTCGCTGTTTGTGTCCTTCACAGTTGTACCATAAGAGCAAGATTTTTTTAGCCTTTTCAGCTCAGTTTATGTTATAAGTTATCCTCAGCCTCGTTGTAATCTTGTGAATTCAAATTAGGGTAAATTTGAGAAAGTTGATAAAGAGACATTGATATATAGCTAGCTAGAACTAAATGATAGATGTCCTGTTCTTATTCTTCTCATTTCTGGGTTTAGTTTTGCTTATAGATACGCCCCAAGCCTCTTGAAGTCCATAACACATGTGACTTGCCAAGCATATCTTATTTATAGATGAATGATAGAGGGATAATTAAATTAGAAGCCGAATTACCTTCAACTTTATAATTCTTTGCTTTCTCTTTTACACAGGTTGGACAATTTGCTAATTGCTTGGTGGAGGCTAGAAATGAGTTACAGCACAAGTATGTTAAAGAACTTTTTTCAAGGAGCTAATCCCTTCTCCCTATTCTGTGTTTGTAATGTGTATGAAGTATTAAGTGTGTAATATGAACTGTAACTGTTTCGACACTCACAATTTATTCACAAAATTGTTTCTCATATGAACTTGTCCCCAAAGCCCCACCCTCCTCCCTGGCAAATGACACTGTTTCCTGTTAGTCCACAAACATGAAACATGTGATTAATTTTGAAGTCCATATTAAAATTTCCCTTCTTCCTTTAGACCCTTCGTCCTATTGACTTCCTAGAACCATCTTCCGCTTCTCAAGTTCATCAGTACTGATACTTTCTGCCTTTTTTCTTTTTCTTTTTTGTGACAGGGCTGATGTCATTCAACGTAAATTCACAATAACAAAGGCTCTACTATTCAAGGCAGACAGATCTTCTTTTGACCGCCTTCGTCAACAGGTTGGCTGGCTATATAAAAACGTTTTGGAATTTGGTAGGTAGTAATGTTACCAAGTACTTGGGTCATCTTTCAAGAGGATTTATGCATCAATATTTCAGATATGCAAGCTAGAGTTAGAACAGAAGAGACTGGAAGAGGATGCGTCTGTCTACAATTGGCTTCAACAACAGCTTAAGCTTTCACCAGCATACAATAAGGTATAAATATAAAATCCTTTAACTTGTAAGATAGCATATGATAAGTGGCCTTAGATATCTGTTGAGGTGGTGCCTTAATATTGATAATGTTAATTTAACTTGGATTGTTGTCCTAAATACCTTGAAAGTTATGATTGAAGAAGTTTGGCATCATATATGAGTGAAATGACCTTTTTCTTACAAAATCTTGAAGACGTCTGTATGTTTTTTTTTCCTTTTTCCATTCTGCTGTTATCTCATTACAAAAATTTAAATAATAACGTTTATTGGAAGTGTGCTTCTCCCTTGCTCTCATTTTTCTAACATAATATGATGATACTTCCTCCTTATCATCACAGATGCTTGAAATTAGTGCCTGCATGGAGTTGAAGGCCAAATCCAGAGAACAAGTGGAGAGCACAGATGTGGAATATAGTGAAATATCATTTGAAGAGTTACTAGCGCAAGAAAAGAAGGACTCATTCTGGTTGGTGGCTAATATTTAACCCCCTCCCTTTCTTTTCCCCAGACAACCAAATCTCTCTTTTGGCATGGACTTGTAATGATCACATTGCAAAATCACATGCAGGCAGAAGAATAGGAAATCAAGATCATGCTCGAGCTGATGACCGCCACGTCTTGCTGATTGTCATCCATTTCGCTTCAGCAATACTCTGTACCACTGTACCAGAGAGCACCTTCAACTCCCCTGTGGTTTTTTGGGTTAGGCTTGACTGGATGGCGATATATAAATAGGCTGATATCAGAGTCGTGGGCTTTTCTTCGGTAGGACAGTCATGGATTCGACCTAACTTGAATGTGTATAATAGGAACTTGACAGATTTACATTTTTAAGCTCGTGGGCTTGCCAAAATTTTGCACGCTAGTTTTCTCCCTAACTTGTTGAGAAGGATATATTGTAACTTCATGCAAATGCGTGGCATAATTTTATACATACGATTCAAGGTGTCTTTAAAGGTGAATAATGTTCTTACAGATGGGCCATGCATGCAGAAGGGAAGGGTGGAAGAAAAGGGAAAAGATTCAGATACAAAAATCAAATAAATAAAGATAAAATTGATTTTATGAGATTTACAGAGTGGTGAACAAAAAATAAGGATGCAAATAAAATGACCATTTATTCAAGCAATTCCAGAAAACCGTTATCCTACTACCCAAACCTGTAATTTTCAAAAGATATGTAATGATGTTTACTGTGTCCTTGGTACAAGAAGAATTATAGTGCAAGACTGTAGAGTTGTAATATTTGATGTCACTGACGATGAGCGTCACTGACGATGAGAGTACTGATAGATTTTAAGAGCTTCAATTGGAATAACTAAGACAATACAGAATCGTTAATATGTAGGGGGGCGATATATAGAAGCAACAAAGCTTAAACTACCAAGTACAGTTTCACAACAGTGTAAACAACAAAACAGGTCAAGCTCTATTCTACAATAAACAAAATAGAAGGTTTCGGTGAGATTCAAAAAGTCTCCTTTTATCCTCATCTTCTGATTTTTCATCTTGGCCTCAACCTTTCACATGCATCTCTAGATCAGTCAATCTTCACAGAGGAGTAGATCTTCCGAACAAACCAGAAGCATGCGTAGAAACCAATGGTTCCGGTCAGGACAAAGAAAGCATATGAAACAATCAGCATGTACCCAAAGTAAAGGATCCCTGAAACTAGCTTTGTGATCTCCAACTTGGTAAAGAAGTAGAAGGCAGAGTAAAGGAGAAGGTAAAGGGCAGATGAGCCAGCAGTCAGGTATGATCTCCACCACCAGTGGTAGTCTTCACTGCATAACTGGAAGTAGCATAGCACCATTGTAATCTCCGCACAAGTGATCAGAAGGATAACAAACACAATAAAAAGGAAGCCGAAGATATAATAGAACTGGTTCAGCCAAATTGATGTCAAGATAAAGAACAGCTCAATGAAAACAGCTCCAAATGGAAGAATGCCTCCAATAAGTATAGAGAACACTGGTTTCATATACCATGCCTGCTCTGGCACCTGCCGAGGAATTTTGTTAGTCTTCACAGGGTCTTCAACAGGTGGTTTCTTGAACCCCAAATAACTACCCACAAAGACCAAGGGCACTGATATTCCGAACCATAAGCAAACCAGAGCAAACATTGTCCCAAAAGGCACAGCCCCAGAAGACTTCTCCCCCCAAATTAGGGCATTCAGCACAAAGAATACGGCAAAAAGAATTCCTGGAAACATAAAGGCAGTCTTTAAGGTATTCCTCTTCCACTCTGTACCCTTGAACATTTTGTACAATCGTGCCGAGGAGTAACCAGCAAATAAGCCCATGAAAACCCACAAGAGAACCATGGCAGTCATGAGACCTCCTCGGTTGGAAGGAGACAAGAAGCCCAGCAATGCAAATATCATGGTTACGAGTGTCATTCCAAAGATCTGAACCCCCGTCCCAACGTAAACGCAAAGTAAATTGGAATTGATTGGTGCCCTAAAAACATCTCCATTAACAAGCTTCCATCCAGTTTCTTCTTGAGCCTCCTCTTGGGTGTCCAATTGATTATAGTTGGCGATATCTCTGTATAGAGTTCTCATCATGATCATAGCCACCATACCAGATAAGAAGAGGACAATCATAAGAGAATTTATAATTGAGAACCAGTGGATCTGATCATCATTCATGAGGAGGTACGTGTCCCAACGAGATGCCCATTTGATATCACTTTCCTGGGGGGGAGGAGGGAGGCAAAAGTTCATAAGAATGTAAAAGGGAAGAAATAGTAGCCTAGAGTTCAAGAAATTATGTACCTTAAAAGAGACATCATATGTAAATACAATCTCCTTATCTTTGTCAACTTCTTGTGGAACAGTGCTTCCCGGTGGTAGATTTTTCGTGTCTTTATTGCATGTTGCCAACTGAGTATTCTTATCATTCCACTCCTTATATTCATGATTGATACTGTTGACAAGAGGGGTACAAGGGAATCATAATAAAGCTATTCAATTCTTAATGAGCAGAAAGTGATCATTTTCCATGAATTGCTAGTTTCTTACTAGCAAGTCTTGTACGCAAAGCAGTACGCTTTAAATATCAATTTGAAACGAAAGGGTTATAAAGTAAAGAAGTCACTTGGCCAAGAAAAAGAAAAAAATCCATTACATGCTATAACTTTAAGATGGACATACAGCATAAAGGAGCAGAAAAGTACCAAGTGTCTGTCAGTGGAGAGAACTCTTTACTCGTTAAACCCTTCTTTTACTATGCAGCTAACTATAAAAAGTCTTAGAAACATCTCCATGGAAAGCCTAGCTTTCTGTAAGGGAAGGACCCTCTAGAAATCAAGAATAGATTACCACAGTTTCTATTCTTTAACTTCCAACATCATTTCTAACTTCAGAGTTTAAAGAGGTCAACTGAACATGCATCACTAGAGAAATGTACACAAAATGAATCCAGCTTCTTTTCTTTTATTTCAACTGAATTACAGTATTTCTACCATCCAACCATACAAAACCTTTACTGAATGAAGGTCAACTGACATAAGGCAAAACAGAAATGCAACAAATTAGCCAGAAAAGGAGGCAGAAGGAAAAAGGTATAGCACCTGTTTGGAGTAACCTCAAACCCAACAATTCGAGCAGAATCGGTCTCAGGATCTTTGTGGTACATAACTCGGAAGCTCAAGTGGTTGTTGATGAAATATCTTTCCTCTTTACTCTGTGAAACAAATAAAAGTATAAGATAATGTAAACAAGTCTTACTTCAACATTAGAAACTGCTTTCTGAGCCATACCCCAGCATAATTTCCTTTGAATCCAACACCGAATCCATGTTCATAAGTTGTTGAGGGACTTCCATCCCGCCTTTGTCTGAGAACAGCAACTGGAAGATTATCCAAAATCCTGCGGCCAATTCAGAGGTCTCAATTAGACCAACAAGCAATGTAAACTGATCATCGCCTTTATATTAAACTAGGGATAAAGCAGACAAATCATATAGGGATGAAAATTAGACACAAAAGTAAAAGATGAAAAATGAAGAGACCACTTGAAATTACAACCTCAGAAAATAGTAATACTGGCATAACATAATTACTTACATTTGTACTCGATATTTATCATCAATTTTTTCCTTAAAATTTTTTGCAGATTCAGCATCAAGCTTTACTCGACAAGCTACTACACAGGATTGCTCCTCCCTCATTTTGAACTGGGAAAAGAATTTATAAATACAGGTTTTAAAAATGAAGTATAATAAATGGTATTGACAGTGTTGTTCAAACACTACTCCACTACTTGGGTTGCCAAAGTGGCAAAAGGGTTATAAATGCTCACAGAGTATACAGAATTCTCAATGCGGTCACCGCGGAGAACCTCCCCCAGATTTTCTGCACTGTTTTCAATCTGTTTGGGGGTACAATATTTTAAGAAGTAGTAATCATATGGGAGTTGTGTCTTTGTAGATGACAGTTTGTTCACTTTGATAGAAAGGTCATCTCCCTGTCAGAAAGAAGAGAACCACAAAGCAAATATTGGTACTTCGATAATAATATGGAAAACAATAAACGGAAATGAATAATTGAGTGCCACAGTAAAAATCTATTCAATTTGGAGTCCAGGCTACAATCATTACACTTCTACAATCCCATTATGTTTTAAAAAGTACAATAATTCCATCACAAATATAAAAGACACAGAAATGTTTCGTTATATCAGTAAAATAGCCGGTTCCTCACTTTGGCAGCATTCAATGGTTTTGTTGCTTTTTGATTATCTAAATTTTGTTCCATGGTGATATGAATTTATTATTTCCAACCATATTTTACTTTTGATACTCTCTAAAAACTCGATCGCTTTTGTTACTTTTCATCATACGAAACATAAAAATGGTGTAATCCTGCAACCAAACAGATTCTTAAACTCTTTTTACCCGCAAGTATACTGAAGCCGAATTATTAAAACCACTGTATACTGCATACTCAAAACAAATTTTTTTTGAAATAGAAGCAGCAACTTTATTAAACCACAAGCTCAAAAATCCAATCCAAAACACAAACCCCATAAACCATTGGCATAGATCTACGAAAAAACGAAAATAGATCAAGCCCAGAACCCCAGATCCAACACTGGTTAAGTGGAAACAAAGACAAACCCACAACGATGCAGCGCCAATGCACAGACTAAGGAAGACGTGGAAAGTAATTAAAGCAATAACCAACAGAAGGATCAACGAATTTGAAGGGAGAAAAGAGAAAATGAGATTCGAAGAGAGCATACAGTGTGGAAATCGCGAGGAGCAACGCCTGGGAGGTAGAAGCAGTGGGCTGAGGAGATGAGGAGGAGCACACAGAAGACAAGGGTCGTCCGTGTTGTACGGGAGGAGATGCTCCTACCCATCTTTTTGTTCTCTTTCTTCTACTTCGATTCGATTTCAGAGAGAGAGAGAGGGAGGTGTTTACAGAGGTTTTCGCAGGGATAAAACGCAAAAGCTATCTCCAGTTCTTCATTGATTGATCAAGTAGAATTGTATTAAGGGACTTTTTATTTCTATTTTTATTTTTATTATCAAAGGGACGTTATTATATGAGGTTTTTTTAAATAAAAAAATACAAAGAATATTATTATGATATGGTTATGACTTACAAGCCAAATTACTTTTCCCACCTTATAATAACACAATATAATTCACCAAAAAATAATAATATAATTTCATACCAATTCCATTGTAATTCATGCTAAGATTTATAAAATGGGTAGTTATAACTAAGATTTATGTATTCAATGTCATATGTTCGTAGCAACCAGAGTTTAGCTTAGTGAAAAGGGTTGTATACTAACGGTTTTATGTTCGAACTCTCATGATACTTCGGTAATGTGTGTGAACAAACCCCCTTCACTTCTTAACTTTGACAAAAGAAAAAATGTCATGTATTTGATTACCTCCAAAATCGATTATATAAAAATAATCTTAGAAATTTTTAACCACATCTACAAAGCTCAAATTAAACTAAACATTTCGTCAATTTTACTGATGTAACGTGTGGGAGGCATCCACAAAATTGAACTTTGACAAACTACGTAAAACTAGAGTAGAATCAAAGCCATACGAAATGTAATTCCATTGTAGAAATTATGCTTTTTTGGCTGGGAAAAAGGTGCACCTTTAGTTGACAAAAATTAACGCAATTAATGCAATGTGCCAATGGGTCTATCATAGTGAAAAATGATATTGATTTGCAAATTAGAGGTCACCTGTTCAAACTTCCATGACATCTTGGTTGTGTGTGTGAGAAATCCCCTCCTTATAATTTAGTCTATCGTTTGTACTAAACATAATAATAATAAAATCAACGCAATATTTAAACCATTTTATTACGTTTGAAAAACAGATGCACGGTTGTTGATTATATAGATTAAAACGGAATCTAATCAAACAATACATACAAAGATAGGTCACCTAAATAAAAGTTTACTTAAATTATGCATGATTTTCTAAGTACATATATTACTAATATATTTTCTCCTTTAATAAGTACAAACCCTCTCTATTAAGCAACTACATGGTGGGCACCTCGCATCGCACCTCATAGAAAACTAAACCATCATTGATTAACTTTAGAACAGTTTAATACTGAATCTTATAACATTGATACTTGCCTTTTTCTATCTCTATCTAAATTTTGTATATGGATTCACCTTAAGCCTATAACTTAAAGCTCATCATATCTTAGGCTCAAATCAATAACACAAACTCAGATGAAATCCAGTTAAAATCCAATCCATGACCTGAAAGAGGCCGCTAAGCATCAAGTTCAAGACCCTTTTTACAGGCCTCTAAGTTTCAAGTTTCAAGTCTTGTGGGGTTAATAAAAATTCATACGGGGTGTACTTGTACGTAACAATCATAGTCAGATTTTCCGAGATAGGTTCTACTACACCGCCTACTGAAAAGAAATGTTACAACACCAAATGAAAGAAAAGTTGTACTTTTCTTTTTTGTTTCTTAAGATGGACTACAGACTAGGGGAGAAGGGGTCATTGCCTTTGCAGACCGGTTCGAAAGATTAAAGAAAGAGGGTTGAGTTTATCCAACGTTTTCTGGAAATGTGCAGGAGACATCACGCCTGGCATGCCATTAGGTGCGATTTGAACGTATCCAGCTCTGCGAGGACCTCTTCCTCGGGCCTGTAAATCAAATCAATCATCCGCCATATCTGCAACATAAAAAATAACTATTCATCAAACACTAAACAAATATTATGCATTTGTACATAACTAAGCAGGAAAACATGAGAGAGAGAGAGAGAGAGAGAGAGAGAGAGGAGAGAGAGAGAGAGAGAGAGAGAGGCCTGCTTACAGATACCCTGTAAGTTTCTTAAAAAAAATTTGTTACCTGGAGTGTACCACCACCTCCGGTACTTCCACAATCATCAGAAACACTGACTATTGTCCACGGATCAGATGCATTCCAATGAAAATCAACAATCTTGTCCCTAGCATGCACAAATCAAGCTCAATATAGCAAATGAAAGTATTGTAAAAGTAACAATACAAGGTTGCAGTTGCTTCCCCAATATTACTATGAGTACATAATTATCGAAATAATATATTTTTCTAATATAAATAGTAGCTGATCAGGCCAATTGTAACATATGATACAGTTTTCCCATAATGGTTTGCATGAGCCCCCCCATTTAATAAGTTCACCGTAGGAATAAAGTAATACAGTGACAAATTCATAATACACAACCGGGTAAACAATTGCACATGCATAGTGAGGAGTTAGCTGCCAACATCATCAAGCAGAAAGATCTCCACACACTAGATTGCATGCATGCACTTGTTATCTCCATTGTAAACACTGCCAATCTCCTAAGACCATGAAAATAAATCATACATACCTATGACCAGCATGTCGGAAGAACAATCCTGGAGGAGCATTTGACGGCTTTGATCCAACAGAGTCTTGCTTCTTACCAATCTGAAAGGCAGCAACAATATATATATATATATTTTTTTCCTCTCAATTTAATGGCACGGGTAGGAAGGAATTAATAAATCACAACTTTTTGGGGAGTGAAATTTATAGCTTCACACCTTTTCATGATCCCAGATGTTTAATACACCATCCTCAGCAGAACTCCCAAAGACAGATGACTTGTCAGGAGACCACTAGAACAGCAACAAAATGAAACACAAACAAACAAAAATAAAATAAATGTAATTCTCGAGGAATATAATAAAAAGCAATAAGCAGAAACAAAGTTAATGAAGAAGCTAGAACATTTTCCTGGCACCTGTACACAGAGGACAGCTGCATTATGACCCTCAAATGTATAAATGGGTGATCCAACTTGCCCGGAAGTGAGGTTCCGGCGATCAAACATGCGAACGGTATTATCAGCAGACCTAAAAGGTAAAAGCAAACTAAGATAAGTGCAACCGAAGAGCGTGATTTCTGTGTGACAATTTTATTTTTTATTTTTGCATAGGTGCAGAAACTAAAATTCCAAAACAGCAATATAAAGATCGTGATCAGGACAGCAAAGTTCTTATTTTGCACTGTGGACAGCAAAGTTAATCTGGTAAATCATGAAAGATGCAGATACCCTGTAAGAATGAGATTGACGTCATTCGGATTCCAATCAACACAATGAAGATCAGCATCATGAGCTTTCTCAACCTGCTCAGATAAGTAAATGAATACGAATATAAGAAACGCAAATCAACATTAAATAAAAATTACCTCTAGAACTATACTTGCACAGATGTATAGAGAGAGAGAGAGAGAGAGAGAGAGAGAGAGAGAGAGTACAGAACCTTGACAACTGGACTAGAGCCAGCTCTTGTATCCCACAGTATGAGGCAAGAATCATCGCCTACACTACAGAACTCTTGTGCACTACAGCACATGAAGAAAGCATTCGAAAAGTACCATCAGCTTAAACTACTAAATCTTCATTGAGAAACTTCCTCACCCAAAAAGAAAAAGTTATAGATGCCAGTGCATGGATGGAAATAAGGTGTGGCAGTGCCAACAAAACAAGTCGAGAATCATGAAATGCATTTGATGATTGATCAGCACATACCTAGTTGGGCAGAATTGCACATCCTCAACAGTATCCCCATGCCCTTGATAGATACCCCGTGGCTCAACAGAAGGGCTGTCTGTGGGTTTGTCATTACTCCCACCAGTCTTAGAGGCATGTTTAGCATTGGCACCTCCAGATCCTGGAGACCTTGCAGACCCTGGATCTGATGCTAAAGATGAGATATGATCATGAATACTCCACAAAATCACTGATTTATCCTTCCCTGCGCAAAGATCTCCCCCATTCAGAAGACACAAGGAAAGTAGGAACATGGCTCATGCAGCGTGCAAATCATTTGCATGGATGCATTGAAGTTTAAACAAACACAAAAGGTAAAAGAAGCGAATTGTATTCACAAAAAAGGCAAACTAAATTAATTATATTACTAATGCAGTCCAATTGATATTAGGCTTCAAATAATAGCCCTTTACACATTGTTTCCTACCTTATCAGTTCAGTTTAAATAAACAAAGCAATGAAACATACAACACTAAAATAGAAACTCCCAACCTCCAGAGAGCACAAAGGGTTCAGAGTGGCACATAGCAAGAGCGAATTCGGCATAATCTTGATGACCAGTCAATAGCTGCAAGATGATGTCAAAAATTTAGTAAGCACCTATCCCAAAAAGGAGATAACATATAACAAGGCTATTGAAATGAATGAATTATAATTTAAGTATATGGTGATTATGACTACGATGACGGTATTAACAATTATTATAAGTTGTAATATAACTATCCAAAGATTTAAGAAGCCCATAGTTGGTGCAGATCTAAAGGTTCACCATTTGGAGATATTGAAACATAAACAGCCAATTATGCACCATGCAACAAATACCAACTGGATCAATCAAAGTAAAATGCAGCGAGGGGAAAAATTAGTTTTCTCTAAACAGGGCAGACCAGATCTGGACGAGAATTTGAAGCTCCCAGGACAGCATGTCGATTAGGTTGAGCCTCAATATCCCAAATGAGAACCTGTTACATGTTCAAGAACTTTATCCACCTCGTGATCAATCAGTCTATATAAACTTTAGAATACAAAATAAAATTAACAACTGTAACTGAAAAGCCCTTGAATACTCATCCAAAAGAATAAAACATGAAACTGAATGCTTACATCAGGACTGTCAGTGTGTGTGGCCACTATCTTACTATTCTGTGGGAGTTCCCTTATTCTGTTCACCTGCAAAACATAATCATAAATTGCTGACAAAATCCAAGCTTTTTATTGCAGTGGAATTAGAAGCAAATATCTTGAAAATGGGCTTACAACAATTTGGATTTGGAGGAGGGTGGGGAATTTTTGGGGTTATGGTTCAGTGGTTTTGCAGACAGTTGATTAAACCGAATGATTTCCAACACAGAGAAGGTAATAAGTGCAATAGTGGATGGATGAGTTTCCAACTATAGTTGGTTTCATTCCTTTCCAAATAGCATTAAAATTTGCAAACAAAAGTGTAATGGGCATTTCAGTCAGCATCCGTAATGGAAAATGACCTATAGAATCTTTTCATCATTGTGGGTCGTGATTTTCAAGTACATTAACTACATATCTTTAAAGCATCTTAGAGGTATTAATTTCCATTAGCTTGGTCCTGAATTTAATAGTAGTTATTCACAACGCATACCCAATTTGGTCTAGGCATTAGTATTCCCGCATGCAAAAAGACTTATACATGCAAATCTCAAAGAATAATGTAAAGATCAATAACTCGTAGAAAGAAACATCAATTTAAATGTATGCCACCAATGAATCAAATGCACAGGCTTAACACTATAATGGAGACTCCTATAATTCACTGATCCGTTATTTAGAAGAAATTATTTCCTTGGCATGTTGACTATTTCAATCAGCAAGTGTTCATATATAGTTGAATGCTTTTCATCTTTACAATATAAACCACTTTCCATTTCCAATAATAGAAATTATCCTGAAAAGGTATCGGCAATTAAATTAAGCAACCTCCTTAAGAACTCATTGAGCAGAAAAGACTCTAAGCAGAGTCATTTTTAAATTAGAGTATACCTCACCAGGATGTATAATAGTTTTATACTTTTTTACAAAAGGAGAGCGTGCTTCTTCATTGAACTGTAAAGATCAAGCAAAAGATACCATATGTCAATAAATGAGTTAACAATTTAAGGGATATCAGTTTAAGGCATGAAAATGAAAGGCATCAGTGAACAGAAAGATGCATATTGATTTTCACCATGACGCAACCTGTGATATGTGCTCTGCAGCTGCAACCCTAGGTTTGACAACTTCACAGTTCGCAATGACAAGTGTATTTGGAACACTGCCATCAGTCTGAACAAAAACACAAAGGTAAGCAAAACATGGTACAAAGATAAAGAGACTAAAAGAAACAAGATATATATTCACATAATATCAACACTACATCTGCAGGCAAGTAATTGCAAATGCCAATGATGCCAAAGAAATTATATGTAGATATAATATAATATTATATGATTAGGGAACACTAATTTTATGCATAGCATTGAGCTGAAAAAATCATTCCACATTACATCACAAATATCCGACACACCACTAATAAGTAATGTTCAAACTTAACATTGCAACGCTAGTGGCACATGATTATAAGCATACGATTATCTTAACAAGGAATCTTGACTGAATTAGTTGCTTTTCGAATAAAAACAATTACAACATTTCTATGGGTAATTCCTTTCTTCCTTCTACAATTTTTGTGTGTGGAAACCTCCTATATCAGCAACTGACAAAATGAAGATTCAGATGCTACAAGAGAAAATCATCATACCTGTTCGGAAAGATACAGGCGCTGACGGTTCTTATAAGTGGCTTGCTCTAGTTGCGGACCCCATCTACAAAAACAAAAGCTAAAATGAATCAGACTTTTATTCACTTAAAGTTAAAGGTGAACAATCACAAATGAAACACCAATACATCAAACCAAGCAGCTTCAATGTACCTCCTTTTGCGAAGGCACGCAGATTCCACAACATCAAAAGCTCAAAATAAGCACAACCATTACAAAAAGCATCCATTACACCCAGATCAACAAGACAGCACATTTTCCCCAACAATTTACTTTTCTTTAACTTCACGCACATTATCCCCAAACCCAAACAGTAAATAAACCAAAAAGGGAACTAATTAATGCTTGTAGAAACACTAGATATTCAGGGGCCATCGACATTGTGCTAAATCAAGAGATAAACTAGATCAAAATACGAACGTTTTCAATTAAAGAAGAAGAAGGAAACCCTAGAGGGAGAGTACGGACCTGCAAGAGAGAGAAGGCCAAACGAGGTTGTGGTTGGCGAGCCAGTCGTAGAGCACTGGCACCAGCGACTTCCACTGTGTGTATCTCTCGTTCACCGTCTCCTCCGCAACTTTCCCTCTCATTTCCTTCATCTCTCTCTCGCCAAAACTCTTCTTTTCCCGCCAATTATATATATAAATGTATATATAGGTCAAACTCACACTCGCAGAGCCGTATATACAACAGTGTTCAGGTGAGTGAGCGAGCGAGTTGTGACTCGGTGCGGCCTCGATTACGTGGAAAGGAGTAGGTGCGGGGCCCTCGTCAGCTGCCACCTGTAACTATAATTAATGCCCCCCGTCCCATGTCGATTTTATACTTACATCTCGTTTCAAACGAACGACATTTGATATTGTGTCGTTTGATTGTTGGGCCTTGGATTGCCCTACTAATGTTTCATTATTTGGTCGTCGACAATCCCCAATTGGTCAAGTAGTACATTTGTCTGGGAAGACGACGAGCTCCGGGTCCAACGAGTCAAAAGGGAAATTGGCCTTTTGCAGTTGGGTACATAGCCACTTCTTGTTGTCCCATTCTTTTTATTTTGGCTGTTTAATTTGTTCTTGTCTCAAAACTTGGTGAAAACTCTTTATCAACAACACTCATGCAGAAACTATGACAATGCAAATATGAAATTATCATATGGAAGTTGTCTTTTAACGATCGGAACTATCTATATTTTAGGTCATCTTTCAAGGATTGTTTTTAGAAAAAAATCAGTTCAAATTGAAAGTTGTCTGGCGGTCTAGTCTAACATGTGAATAAAAAAATAAAAAACACATTTCATTAGATAAACAAAATTGCAGATAATAAATTACTAAACGATGTCCTTTTTTCTTCTTTTTTTGTTTTGGGCGTCTGAAAGCAAGTTTCATTAAACTTGAAGAATGTAAGAAGGCTTACTAAAATAAAGTAATCTTAATAACATCCTATTAGAGAGACATAGGCATGTCTCATCAAAATTAAAAACGCCGAAGGCCCAACCAACAACCGACCAAACGACAAACATGGTGGTGGTGGTGGAGATTGGAGGGCATTAATATTCTGAATTAAAGTTGGGAATTCAAATTTGGCATCCATAGAGAATATATTTGATGGAATGTTGGATAGAGAGTTGCATAGAGGTGAAATTGTGCTTGAATTTATTGATATAAATAACAGTAGTTGCCCATAATTGAATGAAACATTTTGCAGATCAAACACCATTTGATTTGATTTATGCCTCAAGCAATGTTAAGAGAACGTTTCTCTCTTTTTATATATAAAAAGAATGTTTCTATTATTCTTCCAATCTTTATATGACTTCATCTTGTTGACCTATTACACACAGGAACGTCGGTTTAATAATAGAGAGATAACATGCGACTGCCATTCTCTTTCTTCTTCTCTATTTTCAGTGCCATTGTTGTTAATTTCATCTAATTAATTTAATAAATTTTATTCTTAACGGGAAAACTTATTCAATGTCAATAAGATCACGGTGGGGTCCACGCTTAGTTGGAGACCAAAAACAGCACTACAAACGGTTGCGAGCTAGGTGTGTCCCCACTGCACTGCAAAGTTCATAGCCATCCAGCCGTCCATCCTTTTGTTTTTTGGGGAAATGGACAGTGGGCGGCACGTGGGTCCCGCAGAGTCGGTGGAAGAATTAGGGGTCCGCTTCTCAAATCTCTCATTTCACCTGGAGGATCGGCTGATCATTCCAAGCTAACGATAACGATGGATGTAACTTTCTTCGATGACTCTGTTATTTCTAATGGGATTTTGCCAAGTCAGCACACATCGTGGATTATTGAAACAGTTAACCTCAACTATATATTGTCTCAAGACATAGTACCAAAGCTTTATATGGAAACATATATGTTTTCAATTAGATCTCTCTAACGCTCCTCTTCACAAATGACTTGGTACCCAATTTTTTGAGGGTTTATTTTGCGTAATCTTTGTTAACGGGTTATATTGACATTTTTTACCCTCTTTTAAGTGCAATTTTACACAATAAGTGGTACTTTTATCAGAAAATTGAGGTTCTCTCTAATCACTTTTGGCGAGATGAGAGTAGGCTAGTGATTAGTCAAACGACATCTCCCTTATGTGTAGAGAAATTTGCGTAATTTTTTGGGCTCACGTTCTATTTTCATGATCAATAATCAAAATATCGTGTTTAATAAAAAGAAAGTGCAACTTTTTTTCTTCTTATATTTATATGACAGAGAAGTACACAATGAGTTTTTTGAATTACCGATAACAGCAATTTCTTAAAACAAAAAACTAGAATTGGGAAGGAAGATTATTAACCAACCCTTAAACAAAAAAGAGATAATATACAATCTTAATACTTTTTAAAATTAATAATAATGATTAGCAAAAACAGAAAAACAAAATGCATCAAGTAGTTTGTTTTTGTTTTTTTACAAGATCCATGTCTTTTTTTTGGGTTAGAAGAGATAAATTACAATATACAAATATAATACAAGTGATAGTTTAAATTATTTTAGATTAATCTAGTTTATAAAAGTACGATTCAAACTAGAGTGTAAAGGGTCGGGGTGACTGCCTTGACCAAACCTTACCCAATTTGTAGAAAACTTCCTTCTAAGAAAGTAGTGCTTGTAAAAATTATCAAAGTGGGTTGGAAAAAAATGGAGAGGGTGAAATTTGTGAAAAGCAGCATACCTATTAAAGAAAATGATATAGGCACAAGAATGACCAAAAAGTAATTGGAGGTAAAAAAAGACAGTCACGCCCACTTTTTAAGAACAGCAAAAGAAAATCAATCTCTCCTTTGAGATCGGTCTCTCTCTCTCTTTTTCTTTCTCTGTTCCTAACCGATCTCTCTCTCTCTCTGTCTCACGCATTTCGAAGCCCCATCATCACAAGCTCTTCGAAGCCAATCTCGCCCGAAAATGGGTACCTTCTGATTCCTCTGATCAATCTGATTTATATAACCCTAATGATAATTATAACGAGACGTTTATTTATTAATTTTTGGAATTTTCCGTTAACATTAATTTGTTGCGTTACGCTCCTGATCGCCATGAATTTCAGGCCTTTATTAATTGTGATGCCGAGAGTGGTAATGGGTTTCGTTTTTTTTTAAATTTTTGGGTAACTGTTTATGTAATTTGATTTTGATTGACTCTGATGTGATTGATTTGCCTCAGTTTGATGTAAATTTTGGGGCTTCGAACTGTTTGATTAAGCTTCTCGCTTTCAATTCGGAGTCTGGTGATTTGTAGGAGGAAACAATAGATTGTAACAACCTTTCTTGTATTTGTTTGGTTAGTGAGTAAGTATAAGAAAAGAAAACAAATGTTATCTTTATTGTTCCTTGAGTCTTAGCTTGAGACGCCGGAAATGTAAATCGGTTGTCTCCTGGGGGTAATAGGATTTTTTTGTCTTGGCTGAGGTGAGATATGAAAACCCGAAACACAAATTTAATTGGTTTAGCCTTTCCTTCAGCATTTTCATAACGAGTTAAGATTAATTTGCTTGACACTTGTAGATCAGTCTCAAAATTTTACCTTTCTGAATTTTAAAACTGAAAAAGATTATGTTGTTGTTGTGATACATACAAAAAGCATGCAGATACTTATATGATCGGTTGCTTTTTTTAGTTAACGAGGAAATGATAGTTATTTTTTTATATTGTATAATCTTAGTCTTTATGGATTTTGGCTTTGTACCCATGCTTTGTATGATAACAAACACAGTGCGTTAATCACTAGATGAATTTTTTGATCAGTATCTCTAGAACATTTTGTATCTTTGGAATTCAAGGCTTTTGTTTCCTATCTAACACATGAGCATATTCTCATCCAGCGAACAGTGAGGAGTGCTGCTCTACTCAGCTTATTGATGGGGATGGTACATTCAATGCCACTGGAATTGACCGTTTAATCAAGGAGGTTAAATTGGGCGAATGTGGACTTTCCTATGCCATTGTCTCCATTATGGGTCCACAAAGTAGTGGTACGCATTCTTATCTCCTCAAGCATATAAGTCTTTATTTACCATGTGTGACTTTGGTTGAGGGTTTAGAAATGATGAAATGTGTTTCATATCATACATTAGAATGCTACATGTTTGAAGCTTAATATAATGGAGAAGAGTTTATAATGTTCTTTGGTATTTAAAGGCATGGATATCGTATATTTTCTCTTGGGATATGTTTTCTGCTCGCATAATATGTGAAGGTTTCACTTAATTTCAATTGTTTTTTCAATAATGATCTGACCAGGAAAGAGCACACTATTAAATAATCTATTTGCGACCAATTTTAGAGAGATGGACGCTTTTAGAGGAAGGCAAGTTGTCATAATGCTCATTATGAAATTAGTTATTTTTCTCTTTAGCAATCAATGATATGATGGGCTTATGTATTTTTTTTTTCCAGGTCTCAAACAACAAAAGGTATTTGGTTGGCAAAATGTGCCGGTATTGAACCTTGTACTCTTGTCATGGATTTAGAGGGTACAGATGGAAGAGAACGAGGAGAGGTGCTTTCAACAACCCACTTTTAGTTTCATCAAATTTTGGTCATGCTTGAATTTTGTTGTCTTTACGAGTTATCTGGTCATATTCCCTAGTAAAACTATATTTGTGCATACATTGCATGTATGGTTTTCTATGGGGTAATCTTGATTTCTGACTCTCGCTGCCTCTCTGTTCTTGTAGTTTAAAGATAGTAGGCACATACTCTATTAATTAAGCGTAAACATTGTCATTATTAACTCGACAAAGAAATAAAATGAGAAAAGAGAAAAGAATCATTGACTTTCAAATCGGGATTGTTGATTTTTTTTTTCTTGCAATGTTGCAATGTTTTCAATCTAGAGCGATGTGCTACAATTCCTTGCCACTATCATTCATTCATCTGTGGAATTAGTATAATGTGACTTCCTGACAAGGTAGTTGAGTAATGGGTTTCCACTAAAATGATTCTGAAAATCTTATGTATTAAGAATGCTATAAGAGGTTTAGTCTTTATTCACATTTTACTAGAACGCATGATGCTACCAAGATTCTTTTGAAGGTTGCAGTTTTTTAAAATGGAATTTGGTTAAATAATATCATCCATTTGGACTTAATATAACTGTAAAATCCGATCTTAGGGTTTAAACAGGTGTATAGAAGAAATGATACAATTGCTTTTTGTTTATTATTTGCCTTTTTGTTTATAGGATGATACAGCATTCGAGAAGCAGAGTGCCCTCTTTGCTCTTGCTGTTTCAGATATTGTGCTCATAAACATGTGAGGTTTTCTTCCCCAATTATATTATTTTTTAAAATTTAAAGTATTTTGATATTGTATTACTTATTGTCTACTTATTTTGTATTAATTATTGTTTAGGTTTTGTATTTATCAATCTTTGTTGGTAACTCTCTTTAGAATTTTTTATCTAGGTGGTGTCATGATATTGGCCGTGAGCAAGCTGCAAATAAGCCTCTCCTAAAGACTGTTTTCCAAGTATTTTTCTACCTAGCTTTCTTTTTTAAAAAGTTAGTATGAATTTCATAAGATCAATGCCTTGAACTTATGCTTGAATTTGATAACAGGTGATGATGCGATTGTTTAGTCCACGTAAAACAACTCTGATGTTTGTAATCCGTGATAAGACAAGGGTTCGTACTTTCCTTCTAGTGTTCCTATGTCATAGCTTGAAATGGAAACAATTTGGTTGCATTTATTATTCATTTTTGAGTATGTTACATTGTTTTGTTTTTTTGGTATAAGGTTGTTCCAGTATGGGTTGAGTTTTTTATAGTACATTTATCCCTTTTTTGTTTGTAGACGCCATTGGAGAATTTAGAACCAGTGCTTAGAGAAGACATTCAGAAGGTAAGTGATTTGGTGCTATATTTGCTGTTTTTTATTACTTCAATTTATGTTGTTTTTCAACACCCTCTCCTTCTGCAGATATGGGACTCTGTTCCTAAGCCTGAAGCCCACAAGGAAACTCCATTAAGTGAATTTTTCAATGTAAGATGTCAATGTTTTTATTATCTTTTTGACAGATAAGCTTAGACATATACTCGTTTTTGTGGGATAACCTATTTATGAATTATGTTGGTTGACAATGAGTTTTGATGACTACATGGCTAGGTTGAGGTTGTTGCTCTTTCAAGTTATGAAGAAAAGGAAGAACAATTTAAAGAGCAGGTATATATGCTTTTCCCCTCTCATTTGTTGTTGAATTCCATTTTCCTTAAAGAAACGGATTATCTCATTTCTATTTTTATTTTAAAATGCACATGTATTCTGTGCATTATTTGCCTTTTATCTAAATTTTGGTTTTTAGTTTGGAATACAAAGAAACTTTAGCTTTTAGCTAGAGGAAGCTATCTAACATTTTTGCTTCTTTTTTTGGTAATTAATGTCTGTAAATTAAGGTTGCTAGCTTGAGGCAGAGATTCTTTCATTCTATTGCACCTGGCGGTCTTGCTGGTGACCGACGGGGAGTAGTTCCTGCTTCAGGGTTTTCTTTCAGTGCACAACAGATATGGAAAGTCATCAAAGAAAACAAAGATCTTGATCTTCCGGCTCACAAGGTAAAACTGTGAATATATATTCACTTATGCGATTCATGTATTATGTGCATATTGTTCTTGTTGCTTAGTAGAGGACAGCTTGTCCTCTTGATTATCAATACAATTTCATTTCTAATAAAAAAAAAAAAAAAAAAAAAAAAAAAAAAGTATTATATTGTTTTGAATGAGCTATCTTTTATTCATCCATTGTAGGTCATGGTGGCTACTGTACGTTGTGAAGAGATTGCCAATGAGAAGTATGCTGATTTTTCAGGAAATGAGGTACCTGTTTTTCATATAGTGTCTTAAAATCTTTTTGATGTTGTAACTTCGGTGGCCCTTGAACTCCTAAATTATCACAGGAGTGGAGTCAGTTGGAAGAGGCTGTTCAATCTGGTCCTATCTCTGGCTTCGGGAAGAAGCTCAGTTCAATCCTTGATACTTGTCTATCAGCGTAAGTATCTTCATCTGATTTATCAATGTCAAAGCTATAAGATATGATTTGATCTAATGAGAGAGAAGTTCTGTAACTGACTCGTGAAGATCCTCTTAATTGAGTGGCATGCACTTTAGGTGAAGACATCTAAAATTCACTATGATGGTATTAGGTCTTATATTTCCAACTTGCCTCTAGGTTCTGGATTAGTGTACTTATGATGTGCAAGACTCTTACGTCAGCCTAATTTCAAGTCAACTGGAAGATCTAAGTTTACTAGTTGCTTTTTGGTATGCACGAATAGTTTAGCATTGTTTCTTTTCAATAATTTTTTTGGAATGGTGGCTGATCAAGTGTCGTCCATGTTATTTTCTTAATTTTTTTGGGTATGTATCCACAAGGTTGAGTCCTGGACAAAGATGGAAGAATACGCAAATGGAGTAACAGAAGTGAGAAACAATCTGAGTGAAAGAAGAGGAGAGAAAAGAGAAACAAAGTGGTCATAGTTTCCAGCATTCTGTTATGTAGTCTATACAACACAATCTTACATGTCAGTTTATGTTTAGAATTTTGGTTAACTTCTTATCTTTTTAGAAAAGTGCACATAATATTGCCATCACTTTAATTCTACTGAGCAACTTTAAGGTTTAAGGTGTCTGCTGTCTCTAAGTAGTAAGTATACCTTTTGACTTGTGTGGCTGAATAATTATTTGTTTTAGTTGATTAATTTGTTTACTTTTGCTATTTTAGGTATGATGCAGAGGCTACATATTTTGATGAAGGTGTCAGAACTGGGAAACGCAATCAGCTTGAAGAAAAATTGCTGCAAGTAAGTAATCTTGATATTATTCTTGTGACAGCTATGTTCCCACTCCCCTTCTTTCCTTGTGCCATAGATGAGTGAAATATAGCAGTTGAATTGAGACTTTGTGGTGCTGCATTTTCAGTATTTTTTGCCTATAGAAACTGGAGATAAAATTTTGTTTCTGGTTCCTCATTGAATATGCAATGCATGTCAAATTGATTGGGGGACATTCACTGTTTACAGGAGGAGGCCTTTTGAGGCCTTCCCAGTGCATCAAATTTAAACTAATTTTGCATAAAATTAACCTATTTTTTATAGAATGAGTTTCGAATTTCATCAATTTGATTTATATGTTTTTCTTCTGTTATTGATTCTTTTCACTGTATTGTTAGCTTGTCCAACCTGCGTTCCAAGCTTTGCTGGGACATATAAGATCTGGTTCTCTGGATAAGTTCAAGGAAGCATTTGATAAGGCCTTGAATGGTGGGGAGGCATTTTCAGTGGCTGCTTGCAATTGCTCTGAGTCATTTATGGCTCTATTTGATGAAGGATGTGCAGGTATGTTATATCTAATCTTTAGCCTAAATTGAAAACTCAAGTATAAAATACAAAAAATGAATTACAATATAAGAGAATCCTTTAAATATATGAAGCTAATAATACAAAAATCACAAGACAATTTAGTGTCGGTTAATGTACACATTAAAACAAATCTCAAAAGTTGAGTGAAATTTTGATTCTTGCATGAGTTAATGTGTGGTGAGACTTAAAAATAACAGGTCACTGATTTCGACTTTTACTTGCATTTGAAAGTACAATGTAATATTAACACAATACTTTTGCAGACGCTGTTATCACACAAGCAAACTGGGACACATCTAAAGTAAGGGACAAACTTAAACGCGATATAGAAGCCCATATTGCTTCAGTTCGTGCTGCCAAGCTAGCTGAACTTACTGCACTTTATGAGGTATAATATATATTTTATTCATTGCCTCTTGTGAAATGATTGGGGTGACTGGTAATTTTAAACTCGAGCAAGAATTTGACTGGAAGAAGAAACTAAAAGGGAAGTGGGATGAAGCGGAAACTAAACTAGTTTGATATGCTAATTTTTAAGGAGTTGACAGGTTTGTAGTGGCATCTATAGTTTGGCGAACTTTTTCTCAATGGTTTTCAGTCCCTATACGTATATTGTTGACTAAATTGTCTCAGGAACCTGGCTGATATTGTAACTATTTTTGTAGGCAAAATTGAAGGAGGCCTTATCAGGACCGGTGGAAGCCCTTCTAGATGGAGCTAATAGTGAAACCTGGCCTGCAATAAGAAAACTTTTCCGGCATGAGACAGAATCAGCCGTCTCTGGGCTCTCTAGTGCACTTTCGGGTTTTGATATGGATGAACAATCCAAGGGAAAATTACTTTCAAGTCTGGAGGCATATGCAAGAGGTGTGGTAGAAGCTAAAACAAAGGAAGAGGCTGGAAGGGTTTTGATCCGTATGAAGGACAGGTAGGCATACTTGCACTGGTTAAATTGTTTCAGATTTTATCTTATGCAATTGAGATTTATTTTTCATGGGTTTGCAACCTTATTTAGCCATGATTCTGATGATTTAAATTGCCTGCAGGTTTACAACATTATTTAGCCATGATTCTGATTCAATGCCACGTGTTTGGACTGGGAAGGAAGACATTAGAGCAATCACCAAAACTGCCCGTTCTTCAGTATGGCATGATTTATATTATATCATCTATTAGAACTAGTTTGAATTTTCTCTGAAGCTTTGTTAACTATATTGCTATTCTTTCAGTCCTTAAAATTGCTCTCTGTTATGGCCGCAATCCGTTTGGATGATGGTGATGCTGATAATATTGAGAATACTTTATCCCTTGCCTTGGTGGATTCCACAAATGTTGCTGCTAAAGATAGGAGTATCACAACAGCTGATCCACTGGCTTCAAGCACTTGGCACGAGGTGCCTTTTCTTTTGTTTATTTCTTGCTTGTAAATTTTTAATTTGCAAGTATTGTTACAATAGGTGTTTCAACCTTTAAAAGCTGTTACTTTCCGGTTTTCTAGCTTCGAAGCTATAGGTTTTGTCCACAAGGCCATGCTGACCTGTGTTTTTCTGGGAAATTGCACACACACACACACACACACACACGCTTGAGTATGTTTATTTGATAGAGAAGACTGTATTTGATAGAGAAGACTCTGTCTGTATACTCCAATCTGAACATGGTTTGGAAGTTGGGTTATATATAAGCTAGGCCGTAAACTGTCTGTATCACTCCCTCTCTTGCCGAACTAGGAGTCTTTTCATGTGGGGTCAACCTTTGCATCTACTCTGGTGTACCATTTGTGGTGCCAACGCCAAAATTTAACCTTTTTCTTGATTCTCCATCGGTGTGCTATTTATTATGCCAAATGTGGTGCAGTAAATTGCTTACCATAATTTGGCATTGGTGGCATCTTCAATATTAAAATGTTGAACATGTAGGAACGTCCCACTATATGAAACAATCATAGCATGGGTGGGTCAATAAAAGATAAAGATTAAGTAATGACATTTGGCGTAGTTGGAGCTCATATTCCAAAATGTCATATACAACTTTATTTTTTTGGGGGCTTATCAAAATATAGCATTGGAACTCTTATAGAATTAATGGCCCGGGGTCAGCTGACAGCCTTAGTTGGCTCTGCCAATGCTTTCTCTCATGTGCTTAGTGTGGTACTACCGGTAGCCCTTAGTTTGCATGTAAGCACCAAGTAGCTTTTGTGATTTTTTTTTCTTTTCAACTTATGTGCAGGTTTCCTCCTCTAAAACATTGATCACACCTGTCCAATGCAAATCTTTGTGGAGGCAATTCAGGGCAGAGACTGAGTACAGTGTTTCTCAGGCTATTTCTGCACAGGTATGATAATTCACCTGTTAATGCGTGAACATATATATATTTCCTTTTTTCTGTATACTATGATATTTAGAAAATAATGGAAACCATAAACTGTAATATTTTTTTTCTTTCCTATAATGTGTTATTTATGGTTAAAATCTCTTTCTGGTAGGGTTTAGATTTATAGCACCATTATGACTATATTGGTCTGAGCCTTGCTAGATTTTGTTTATTTTGGATTACAAGGGTCAACATTTTTTCTTATTGTTTATAGAAAATGGTTCTAAGGGGTTAAAGAGGTGGAAAGACACATCAATAAAGATGGCCTCTTAACTCATGCTTTGTAATTGAGTCGGTGCATGCGATGTTGCTTTTGCCCTGCATAGATGATTACTGTTAATTGGCATAGATTCAAAGTTTTAGTATATCATGGTTGAGATGAATACATTGTTGCACATGTATGAATATCCTTATCAATCGCTCTTCAGTGGTTAACTTTTCTCAAAATTTTGATAGTTAAATCCATTGCACATGTTGTTCTACTTTTCAGGAAGCTAACAAGCGTAATAACAACTGGTTACCACCTCCTTGGGCAATTGTTGCCTTGATTGTCCTGGGATTCAATGAATTTATGACACTTTTAAGGTACATACTTTCCCTATACTGAGGATAGATGACGATGATGGTGTTCTACCATTAAATTTTATGCATTACCACTGTTCTCACACATTCTCATACCTTCATGGCAGAAATCCTTTGTATCTGGGTGTCATCTTTGTTGGCTTTTTACTAGTTAAAGCCCTATGGGTGCAGCTAGATGTCGCGGGTGAATTCCGCAATGGTGTTGTGAGTATAAAATTTTGTTTTAATTGTTGATTGCTTTCTTTCCCTCGCCCCTTCCCAATCTATTTGGTTTCATGAAAATTGGCCTTAAATCTGACAGCACTTTTAAATAAAAGTGGAATTGCTTAATTGAAAGGAAATTATAGTTTGAGTATGAGCATGTCAGTTTCTTATGAAAACTGCAGATGCCAGTTTCTTATGAAAACTGCGGATGCCAGTTTTGATAAATAACTGAAGTTTTGGAACGAAAATCAGTTATGGCAAAGAGCGCTTTCCTAGCAAACATATTAGTATATTATATCATCTGTCATACTACTGTGCAGACTTGTTTTAGGTGAAAATTTTCCATTATCATGCAAATTTAGTTCCTTGAAAGCTCTTCTTTTCAGAAAATAATGTTTATTGTTCTTCTCTACCACTTATTCAGCAAACAAATATGGAATCTAAGTAAGATTAGCTGCTGGCCCTTATTTTAGTAAATTATTTGAGAAAGAACTTTGGTCATAAAATATGAATAACCACAATATGTTATTGTAAAAAGGTTTTTAAGAAGTGGGCTTATAACTGTGTGCTACTATGTCTACAGCTTCCCGGACTTATTTCTTTGTCCAGCAAACTTGTTCCAACTATCATGAACATGATTAAAAGACTAGCAGACGAAGGGGCAAATGCTGCAGCTAATGATCCTCATCGGAACCCTCCACTAGCATCAAAAAACTTTACGAATGAAGGGAATGCTAGCAGTGAAATGTCATCCAGTGCCTCATCTGGACTGACAGAATCTGACTACTCCAGCCCCTCAAAACAAGACTAGTTAAACTAAGCTCTCTTGATCAAAGACCATTTTTTCTGTTTGAAGATGCTCTCGTGTTCTGCGCACTTATTGTAATGGTGTTACTCGCATATCATCTTCGTATATTAGGTCTGTGAGCTTGTACGTCACTGTTGCAAGCACGTAATGGTAATATTTTTGTAGGCATCATTTTTGAGCAAGTGCCAACATACAAGGGGCTGTTTGTTGTTGTGAGGAAGCCCCCATTGAGTAGTAATTATTTTTTGGGTCTAGGTGTTTTTTCGTTTGTTGGACAAGCTGCAAAAGGATCCATTCAGTGCTCGATATTGATATTGAAGTTAGTTGATTATGATGATGATTTGCATCAGTTTTGTATTGCTACAATTGTAACCTTGTTTGGTTGTATTTTACTGAAAATTTTCAGAGACCAATTCTTATTTGATATGGTTTCCGCGGGGACATATTCATTTCCCAAATAGACGGAGTGGGCCGATCATTGTCTTTATCCATCAGCTGCCTTGAATATCAACAAGTCGAAACGAAGCTATGTTAAAAATTGATTGAAGGCCAAACTTTATTTTTTAGATTTTTTAGATTTTATTTTTTATTTTCCACCTGGAAAGAATCCAAGTTTGAACAATGACAACTCTCTCTTCTGGGAGTTCTGCATGGCAACACTGACTGTTAATTAAGTGTTTATACTTCCACTAGGTCGGTTCTATGCCCAATATTCTATACCGTTATCGTATTTGTCTTGTGTATGCAAGGATGCATGGGAATTATATTAGGTAAGATAAAAAAACTTTGGGTAATAAAAATTAAAATTCGATAAACTTTAAGATAGTAAAGCGAAATCTAACCTATTATATATTATAGCCAAGAGCGGAACCAGAATATTTTCGATGGGTGAGTTAGCTAAATTTTTAGCTTAAACTCTAATGATCTTTATATATATATATATATATATATATATTATAAACGTACTATCTCTATAGTTTTGAAAGTGTACAAAAAATACATATTAAATACAAAAAAAAAACATATTATCAAAATGAATATATGTTCAACAACATAATTGAAAGTGTACCTATTCAAATTGTGCCATGCAATCCTTGAGAGAATTGAAATATTTTGTTATTGCATCTAAATTGATATTATCACACACCTTTTCTTCAATATAGACAATGGTAGAATTATAATTTTTTAATGTGTTTAGTTTATAGTGGTTTTCTCTTAAAAACCTGCATTAAACAACAGCTAGAATTCATGGCTTGTTCCGCTATATGAACTTTGTGCCGTAAATTCTGTGGTATTGAGGCCCTGGGATCAAACTCTTTGTTGTGTTTGAATGTCCTTATGTTAATCTCTACCCCTTATCGCTATAGCAGTTAGGTCACGTTTCAGAAAGAAAAAAAATTGAAATGGGCCCCCCGCCAAAAAAAATTCTAAGGTATTATTTCAAATTGCAGGTGGGGCCATATATACAGAGTCTTCATTTTTCTTCAGAAAGCTATATATTGCAGCAGATTTTTGGAGTCAGATCCACATATAGATTTTTGGAGTGAGAGTGCAGAGAGTGCAAATTTTACAAAGTTGTCCCTATCCCCTCTATGTGCATGAGAGTTTGTCTCCTCTCATTTCCGCATGCTGTGGTTGCTTTTTGTTTTTTTTAATCTAATCCGGTCTCCTTCCCTTGAAAGTCTTTTTCTCTTCTACTTCTCTCTCTTATGCTGCTTTCCTCCATCATTTGTTTATTGTTTCTCTTGCTTTCCTCTCATTTCCGCGGAAAATTAGTACTATTTCGGCAGAAAATTAGTACTATTTCAAATTCCCATGTTATTTTAAAAATTATTCAAAAAATACTCAAAAGATGAAAATAAAAATAATTCCTTTCAGCCATGTTACTTTAAATATTCCTTTCAGCCATGTCCGTCGTGTTTCCATTTCTGTTATTTCATTAGCAGGTGCAAGTGCAAGCAAGCTCTCGCCAAGAAGCTCTTCCGCTTCACATTTTTGAATCGCCATGGATGCTGCTGCCAGTACTAACAAGAGCAACTCTGTATTAGGAAATGGTGGGTCTTTATTTACACTACTGTTATTAATTAGATCATGATCATGTTATTTTTACTTCGTTTGATCATTCGATCCTCATCCATGGCGATGCACGTTACATGTATATAATATAAACACACATATATATATATATATTATAAACATGTATATAACATAAACATATATATATAAATATAAATAATATAAAAAATATAAAAAATATAAAAAATATAAATATTATCTGGCGACTTCGCCGGACCAGAGGTTACTCCGGCGACCTCGCCGGTGGCGACGCCGGTAATGGGTCGCCATTAACTAGTTGGTTTTGTTGTTAGGTCTCACACTTCAGCCGTCTCTCACAGACAGTAGGGTGAGGCTTACGTGTGGACACCGCCATGAGATGATCAAGTTTTCTTCTAATTTTTCACTTCAGAATTTAAAAATATGACGTGGGACGATAATAAATACAAGTAATTAATAATAATAATTAAGGGGACAATTTGGTATTTAATAATAATCTAGAGATATTGCTTTTGTTTGATTATTCCTATCTACCGTATTTCAGCATTTTCTTCTCCGGTGAGCGGTGATGGCTGCTGCCCTACTCTTCTTGTTGGTGGTGACAGAGAGTTTGATGTCACTGGATTTGAAAAGTTTTCAAAATTCACAGAGTTTGCTAAAGTTGGACCTTCTTATCTTGTTGTCGCCATTATCGGCCCACAAAGTAGTGGTATGATTCTTACTTACCTTTTAATCTTCATTTCTGACTTGGTTGAGGATTCACAAAAATATCACTCTGGTGAATAAGATATGCTTTTGGTCATTCTCTGTTTTCTCATCTGATATTGATATTGATTGATATATGACAATGTCTTTTTAATACTAATCATCTGTCCAGGAAAGAGCACACTACTAAACCATTTATTTCACACCGACTTTAAAGAAATGGACGCTTTTAGAGGACGGCAAGTACTGTGCACAATGATCAAAATTCAACTTTGTGTTGTGTTTTCTTTTAGTGACCATGAATATGATGGGATATGCTTTTATTCCAGGTCTCAAACAACAAAAGGTATTTGGGTGGCAAAATGTCCCACCATTCAACCTTTTACTCTTGTTATGGACATGGAGGGTACAGATGGGAAAGAACGAGGAGAGGTGCTTTTAGTTTTCGTCATCAAATTTCTATTTATGGCCATGCTCGAATTTATTGTCATTACCGATTCTCTGGCCAACACACGAATCCATTGCTGGATGATCACTTTTTATTTCTTTGACTACAGCTCTTACTTGTTGCTTACAGATGACAGACATTTTCCTCTTACTTAATCAAGAACAGAAATGAGAAATGAAAATGACCGATTTATGGTCCTAGTATCAGGATTGCTTGTCATGGTTGCAATCTACTTAATTGGAATTTGGTTATTTATTTACAGGATACAGCATTCGAGAAGCAGACTACTCTTTTTGCCCTTGCTGTTGCAGATGTAGTGCTCATTAACATGTGGGGTTTTTCTTTTACCCTTTCTTTATTGACTGTTTGGATTTGTAATATTTTCCCCTCTCTCTGTGAGTAATCTTCTTTGGCAATTTTTGTGTAGATGGTGCCATGACATTGGTCGTGAGCACGCTTCAAATAAGCCTCTCCTAAACACCGTGTTCCAGGTATATTTTCTCCTCCCTACAAATTTCAGAGGCTTGATTTCTTGAACTTTATGCTTTTATTTGTTAACAGGTGATGATGCGATTGTTTGGTCCTCGTCAGACAACCCTGATCTTTGTCATCCGTGATAAGACAAAGGTTCCTTCTTCTCTTTTAGTATTTCTCTGTGATTTGAGATGGAGCCAATTTGCATTTGTCTTTATTATTCATTTTGGTAGTCTGTTGCATCGTTTCCTTCCTTGGTATAAAGCCATTCCAGTCTAGGCTGCGTTTTTGATAGTGTAGTTATGCTTTTTTGTTTGTAGACGCCTCTGGAGAATTTAGAAAGCGAACTTCGGAACGACATTCAGAAGGTTAACCAATTTGGTGCTTTATTTGTTGTTGCCTTACTTTTAGTGTTGTTTGTTAACCCCGTCTCTCCTTTACTGCAGATATGGGAGTCTGCTCCTAAGCCTGAAGCCCACAAGGAAACTCCATTGAGTGAATTTTTCAATGTAAGATGTCATGCTTATATGACAGATAAGATTTCAAGTTTATTTGATGTTACTGTGGTGAAAACTATCCATCATGTGTATTGATTGACAATGTGTTATATTTATGACTAAAAATGGCTAGGTTGAGGTTGTTGCGCTTTCAAATTATGAAGACAAAGAAGACACATTTAAAGAGGAGGTATGTATATGTGCTATGAGGGCACCATGCAGATTTTCTTTCTTTTCTTTGGGCCTTGGACACCATGTTATATTAATAACTAGGCAGGTGTTGCAGGGTTTCTCAAGTGTTGCTGCATATTTTATTTCATTAACACTTCGTCGACTACCTTAAAAAATGTTTCTGTACTCTGTCATTTGCCCCTTGCCATCTCCTCTCTCATCTTTTGTTGCATTCCAGTTTCTGCCTCAAGAAACCAATTGTCCCATTTCTATTTTTTATACTAAAATGCCTCCTAGTATTCAAATTTATGGATCTTGTGCAGGTTTGCCCTTTTTTTGTGTCAAATTTATGTAACTTATGTTTGTGAATGAAAGGTTGCTTGCATGAGGCAGAAATTCTTCCATCATAATAAACTTGCTGGAGATCGACAGGCGGTAGTTCCTGCTTCAGGATTTTCTTTGAGTTTACGGGAAATTTGGGAAAAAATAAAAAAACACAGAGATCTTGATATTCCTTCCATCAAGGTAAAACTGTGAATACAATTGTTTTTTGGTCGAAAACTGTGAATACGATATATGTATGTAAATTTGAACAAGTCATCCATAACTCTTCCATTGCAGGTCATGGTGGCTACTGTACGTTGTGAAGAGATTGCCAACGAGAAGTATTCTGCTTTTGCAGCAAATGAGGTACTTGTTTTTCATGTATTGCCATATTTTCCATCTTCTTCAATTCTAGTTGGATGGCCTTGAATTGCTTTGGAATTATCACAGGGATGGATTCAGTTGAAAGTGATCTCAGTTCATACTGGCTTTGGAAAAAAGCTGAGTTCAATGATTGATACTTGTATATCGGAGTATGTATCTTTCACTTATATTTCTCAGCTTGTTGTAGTCTACAGGATAAGATTATATTTCTCACCTTTTGCCTTATGTGGTTGAATAGTTCTTTATATTTAGTTTAATTTGTTTTTACAATTCTAGGTATGATGAAGAGGCTACATATTATGATGAATGTGTCAAATCCGTGAAGCGCAAGCAGCTTGAAGAAAAATTGCTGCAAGTAATGAATCTCTATTGGAGGATTTAGCTTTATGCACATGCACTCTAAATATGAAGGAGGAAATACAATATAACAAACTAAAGAATAACATAATTATGGAGATGTGAAGTCCGAAGGCTATACAGAGCTCCTACACAAACTTACTTGAGACAAACTTTAATAAGATTGATACTTTAAATACTCTACTACAACACTTACTCTTGATACACTTGATACACACTAACATAGAGTGGATAAAATGCCTATTTATAGGCCATAATATTAACTCAACATTAAACATAATCATAACCATTATACCCACTAAACCTCACATTTTCTTCAACTCATAAACTAGACACAATAGCTAAATCCTTTAGATTCTAACTTTTTATCTCCTAAACTTTTGACTTTTGAAATTACACCAACAGTCTCTACTGTAATTTCAAAGCTTATTAATGCAAATGCTTTCCCCCTTACTTGTCTTCCATGCTGTTTATGTTCACGAAACTTTGAGGTTGGCCAATACCATTTTCTTTTGGATTTTCATCTTGTGTTAGCATTCTAGTTTCTAGCTCTAGATCCATCACTTGATCTTGTAGCCTCTCAATATCGTCAAGTAGCTTTCCACATTTGATCTTGAAATTCATCAACGCATTAAAGTTGACATCGAGCACTTTAATGATATGATGTTCAATCAAAAAATTCAGACAAAAATATGTCGCCAAGTGTTCTGCCTCCTTCTTTGTGTTTTTCCATCTGCTTGAAAAATTCGGATGTGCACCTCCATCAAAACTAATATGACACATGAATTACATTGCATGAGCCGGTCCCTTGGTTACAAAATTAAAATGTGATTCAATATTAAGATTGTGTGCAGCTTCAATCAAAAAATGGACTTAAATGGCACAACGACTAATATACTCATCTTTTTCTTCTTCTGGCTGCAAAAGAGAACACAATTAATAATCAAACACTTTCCTTCATGAATCAAAAAACACTACATTTTCTTTCCTTTTTTCTTATGGTTGCACATTTGCCCCAACCTTCACAAGAACCATTGTTTTTTTATTTTTTTTTCTTTCTTCTGCATTCATGTGCCATTCTCTTTTCCTTCGGCATCCTTGTGCCTTTCTTTCTTCATTCGGTATCCATGTGCCCTTTTTTCATTGGCTGTATGCCTTTCACTTACAGCCAACACACAATTTTTCTTTCTTTCTACACATCTCAAGCCCAAGATAAAACATTTTAATAACAACCAAAAATATTTTCATCACGCCAACACAATTTAAATATAGAACCACAACCAACGCTTCATGCTACATGCCAAAAAATCATTTAAAAATTGGACTATGCTCCAAACGCCACATATGTGATACAGGTCCTCATGACCGTATCAGCTCTGTTACCACTTATTGGAGGATTTAGCTTTATGCACATGCACTCTAAATATGAAGGGGTAAATACAATATAACGAACTAAAGAATAACATAATAATGAAGATGTGAAGCCCGAAGGCTACATAGAGTTCCTACACAAACTTACTTGAGACAAACTTTAAAAAAATTGATACTTCAAATACTTTACTACAACACACACTCTTGATACACTTGATACACACTAACATAGAGTGGATAAAACGCCTATTTAAAGGACATAATATTTACTCAACATTAAACATAATCATAACCATTATACCCACTAAACCTTACATTAACTTCAACTCATAAAATAGACAAAATAGCTAAACACTTTAGATTCTAACTTTTTATTTCATAAACTTATGACCTTTGAAATTACACCAACAATCTCGACATCATTCTTGTCGAACCATATATTACACATTGTTTTCCTTCCCCTCCTCTTTCCTCGTGCTATAGATGGCTGAAATATAGCAATGCAATAGAGACTTAACGGTTTTGGACTTACAGAAAATTTTGCCTCACAGACCAAATTGTGTTTGTTATTCCTTTGATTGTGGTTGATACAATCTGTCATGACTCATCCTCTAATCTACCATGCATGTCGATCAGGGATGTACACATTTTACAGTGAGGGGGACTTTCAAGGCCTTCCGAGTGCATCACAGTAGTTGAACTGATTTGACATAAATTATCCTCTCTTTTTTTCAAAAGAAAAAGCTTCCAATTTTAATTATCAAGTCGATTTACCTATCTTTCTTCTATTATTGATTGGTTTCACTGTCTTATTAGCTTGTTCAACCTGCATTCCAAGATCTGCTGGAACTTAAAAGATCTGATACTCTGGATAAGTTCAAGGAAGCATTTGATAAGACCTTGGACGGTGTCAAGGAATTTTCTGTGACTGCTCGTAATTTCACCGAGTCTTTTATGGCTCAATTTGACAAAGGGTGTGCAGGTATGTTTTGAGAATGGCATCCCTTTAGCCAAACTCAAGGATAAAATGCAAAAACTGAAATACATAATAAAAGAAACCCTTCAAAACCATGAAGCTGAGATAGATAAGTCACAAGACAAATTGAAATTTATCCTTGTACACTCAAACACATCTTACGTACAAGCTGACTTCCTGCCAATTGGTCAATTATGGATTAAGAGATAATAGTGTAATACTTAATAAGTTATAAAACCAAATACACTAACCTTGTTCAGCCATAGAAAGATTCCTCATCTTTGGATAGAAGAAAAATTCTTGCTAGTCTGTATGCTCCATCTCCCATGTTGTGATACTACAGGCAATTGCATGATGAATTATTCACATCTTTGGACATAAAGTTATTCATCATGTATTTGCTTGTAGCACAAGTTTGTGCTAAAATATGAATATGGTTTGAATGTATTAGGGTTCATTTTATTCTTTTTCATAAGGAGGTATATATAAGAGTTTACATGTGGGCTTTACAAGGAATTAGATACAGTAAAGAATTAGGAAAGTATCTCCTAATTGTACAATGATTTATCAATTATAAAAAATAGGAAAATAAATCCCTTAATTAATCAAGGAAATAAATCTCCTTGATTAATTAGGAGACTCACATCAACACTCCTCCTCAAGTTGGTGCATATACGTCACCAATGCCCAACTTGGTAAGTGAGTCATGAAATACTCTTCCACAAACAGCTTTGGTTAAGATATCTGCCAATTGATCTTCTGATCTTACGAATGGTAAGCGAATGATCTTCTTCTCAATTTTTTCTTTGATAAAATGTCTATCCACCTCAACATGTTTAGTTCGATCATGTTGAACTAGATTATGGGCAATATCGATGGCTGACTTGTTATAACAATGTAACTCCATTGGCTTTCCTGGCTTGAAACCCAATTATGTCAATAGTCTTCCAATCCATAGTAATTCACAAACTCCGTGAGTCATTCCTCGATACTCTGCTTCAGCACTAGACCGAGAAACCATCTAACTTCCCATGGTGTAGTAATTTTAGCAGGGCCCCAAACATCAGAATGAACAAGGGAAAAGGGAACCAAACTTTTATTTGAACTTAAGGGAAAAGGAACACGATGGCTCTTGGCTAGTTCACAAATGTCAAACTTAAAATTGGAAATATCTAAATCAAAAAATAAGGAAGGAAATAGCTTATGTAAATATTCAAATGAAGAATGTCTAAGACTGCGATGCCATAACCATACTTATGAAGTTTTCTTCTCAACACTCGCACCCCACATTGTGTAAGCTTGAATTAGGCTGGCTTCACTGTGAGATGCCAAGTCCAGATAGTAGAGTTTGCCTTTCCTAGTACCACAACCAATTGTCTTGCTGCTGAAAATGTCCTGAAAAACACAATGAGTAGGCCAATGCAATTCAAAGCCGTAGTAATTTGGGCAACAGACAAGAGATTATGTTGTAAGGATGGAACAATAAACACAGAATCCAAAGTGAGGGAGTCAGAGAGAGAGAGGGAACCCTCCCCAATTACTGGATATGGGGTACCAGTGGCATTAGACACCATCGATTGAGAGGTCGGTGTATGAGAGGTAATTTGTCCAGGATCAAAGGTCATGTGATCAGTGGCTCCGGTGTTAATGACTCATGAGTGTTTCTTTGAAGAACTATGCAAAGCATAACCTCGGGTACCTGTTGTGGCTATAGAGGCAGAGGCGGAAGCCGGTGCAGTCGGAACAACAGGACTTACAGGATCTGAGGTAGAGGATGTATTGAGTGATTTGCACCTATTCTTGCGGGGAGCTTTGGAGTGGTCCCACTAATCCGGGTACCCAATCAATTCGTAACAGCCAGCACGGGTATGTTTGCTTCCACTACAGTGAGTGCATTTGTGCTCCGGAAGAGAGCTTGTGACTTGAGTATGAGAAGCACCACTTGAAAAGGACGGAGGGCCTCGTGGACGTCCAGTGGCCAGGACCGCATTGTCTGGAGTACTGGTCATGGTCTGTCGTTGTTGAGCTTTGCGACAGGCAAAGGTTTGGTCAAGGTCTAATTTGGGATCTTTGTGCATAATTTCCCCCCAGACTTGATCAAACTGAGGGTCGAGGCCGGAAAGAAAAAGGTGAACACGAAGACGATCTAGTTCGGTTTGACGTTCAGTCACATCGGCGTCGCAGTGCATGCTATTCGGAGTGCGGTGATCAATCTCCTGGAAGATGGTCTGCAGCTGGCTGTAGTATTTGTGGACAGGTGCACCATGCTGTTTAATGGAGAACGCCCATTTGTTGAGATAAAAAAGGTAAGTTTCATCCCCACCATCAAAGTAGGTTTTCTTCACGGCATCCCAGATTTCTTTGGCGCTACTTAAACGGATGAAACGACTCATCAAGTCGGGTGACATGGAGTTGATGAGCCACCCTTTGACCCAAAAGTTCTCCGTACACTATTTGGTGTAGGTGAAGGAGAGCTTAGAAGGTTGCGGGGCGTCGACCGTGAGGTACCCCAATTTTTCGCTGGCAGCAATACGCATCTCCATGACTTGAGACCATAAGGCATAATTGGTCTCTGTCAAGATGACGTAGGTAGGAAACGGAGTGTTGTCACTATGAATATAGTAACAATTTGGGAGGATGGTGGATTAGAGGATGAGGAAGTGGAGTCGGTGGGTTTTGAAGCAGAGACAATATCCATGGCAGCGGAAGGATGTATGAATAAGAGAAATGTATGTGTTTAGAAATTTGGTATGTGTTTAGGAATATGAAGGTATGAGGGATGTGTATAGAGATCTGAACCTAGGAAAGGTAAAGATGAGGAATATGATTTAGGGTTTGGGTGTGAAGAAATTTGATATGAGGATTTATGGTTTGTGTTTGAAGAAATTTGATATGAGAATTTAGAGACAACCGAGAATCGATTGCTCTGATACCATGCTAAAATAAGAATATGGTTTGAATGTATTAGGGTTCACTTTATTCTTCTCCATAAGGAGATACATATAGGAGTTTACATGTGGGATTTACAAGGAATTAGATACAGTAAAAAATTAGGAAAGTATCTCCTAATTGTACAATGATTATCAATTATAAAAAATAGGAAAGTAAATCCCTTAATTAATCAAAGAAATAAATCTCATTGATTAATTAGGAGACTCACGTCAACAGTTTGATCATGAATCTTTGAGTGCATAAATCTTGCAATGTATTGAGTTGCTTTGGCTCACTTAATAATACACTGCCAGATGTTTGCAAACAACGATCATGGATCTTTCTTGCCACGACAAAATAATAGCTTCATACTGTTGCCGTGCCAAAATTTCCCTGCAAACATTATAAAGCTTTCAGTTTTACAAGCTTTTAACTATTGCTGCAACGAAAACCTAGTTAGGTAGGAGATAATATAACTTAAGCTCTGATACAACATGTAACACTTAATAAGTTATAAAACCAAACACACTAACCTTGTTCAGCCATAGAGTCGAATAGAGTGCACGAGAGAGATAGAGAGATATCTTCTCCTAGAAGCCGATGCCTTATGCCCTAATTCTAGATGGGGTGAATATCTGTATAAGCTTGAGTGTTTCATTGGTTCAGGAGTCTTGCCCATCAAGAAATTCCAAGAGATAACCTTAATGCAATAGAACATTGAGTCCCAATCCATATAGAACTAGGAATCCCTAAGCCTTCACTAAGACTGCTGGTCGAGAGAAGGATTGAGTTCTTGATAAACAATGAGTCCTTGTAATCCTACAAGATCACCTCAGTGAGTTTAAGACATTAAACAATCTTACAAATAGGCCTTTTGAATTGGCGTCATTATGTGTTTTACTTGCTCTGTAAGTTACAATGAGATTAACACATTAATTATTATGCAGATGCTGTTATCAAACAAGCAAACTGGGACACATCTAAAGGAAGGGATAAACTTAGACGTGATATAGAAGCCCATGTTGCTTCAGTTCATGCTGACAAGATAAAGCACCATTGTGAGGTATAATAGCATATTTTTGTACATTCTCTCTTCTGAAATAGTTGGGGTTACTGGTTTTCATCAACCCGAGCCAGAATTCGGCTCCAAAAGAAAGTAAAAGTTGAGCTACTACTGTGATAAGTTAATTTTGTTAAGGACATTGATTGCTTTCGTTGTAACAGATTCCATGTAGTGTCTATTGTTGACAAAGTTGTCATAGGAACTTGGTTGATGATGATGTAACTATAAAATGCAGGCAAACTTGAGGGAGCTGTTATCAGGACCGGTGGAAGTCCTTTTGAAGCAAGCTAATAATATGACCTGGCCCACAATAAGAAGCCGTCTTCGAGAGGCTGAATCAGATTTCTCTGGGAGAGCTGTTGCAATTTCTGGTTTTGACATGGATGAACAAACCAAAGCCAAAATAAATGCAAGTCTAGAGAAATATGTAAGACGTATGGTTGAAGATAAAGCAAAGGAAGAGGCTGGAAGGGTCCTCATCCACATGAAGGAGAGGTAGGGAATTCTCTCTCACACAATGGTTTGACGTTATTTAAGATTTTATTGTAGAGATTTTCTATTTAAACTCTGCACTTCTCTTTGTTCACCCCAATACTTAAATCATTAAGCTGTAAGTTTTATTATTGTGTAAAAAGACAAAAAAGGTCATCAAACTTAATAATTAACCCTAGTACACACACCCCACACACCCCACCACTCTTCATATTAAGTTTTAGAAACCTCCTTCCAACTTCCTGTTTACAAACTCTCTCTCTCTCTCTCTCTCTCTCTCTCTCTCTCTCTAACTCAAGTTCTCAACTCAACAATACCCAAGTGTTAGAATTCCAGTTACAATCCTTGAAGAGAGGTAAAACTGTTCTCTTCCTCTAGATATTAAATTTCCGATTTAAGGTTTCATTTGTTTGTGTTTTTTTTGGTTGGGAACAAAGAAAATTGTGGGGTTTAAATAGAAAATCTCTTTTAGTTCTTATTTTTTCAGTTTGGGGTGTATTTAAGGGTAGTTTGGGAAGATAGTGGAGTTTTCTTAGAAATTGTGAAAATTTAAATTAAAAGTTGGGGTGAACTTAGAACATGAGGTGAACTAAGAGAAGTGTGGGGTTTAAATAGAAAATCTCTTTATTGTATGCAATTGATATTTGAATTGCCTTTATAGGTTTATAACAAAATTTAGCTACGATTCTAATTCAATCCCACGTGTTTGGAACCGGTGGGAAAATATTGGAGCGATCGCCAGAACTGCTCATTCTACAGTATGGCTCAATTTTTATTGACAGTTCTTGAGAGTTTGAATTTGAACTGAAGCTTTGTTAACTATATATATTCATAATGTGTAATTTTTTCAGTCCCTAGAAGTGCTTTCTGTTATGGCTGTGATCCGTTTGGATGGTGATGATGATGGTGATAAAATTCAGGCTACTTTAAAAAGTGCCTTGCTGGATAGAGATATGAATACCACAACAAATGACCTACTGGCTTCAAATACTTGGGAAGAGGTGACCCTTCTTTTGTGCGTTTTTTTTTTGCTTAGTTTAAAGATAGATCTCTCAACAAAAAAAAACACCATAGATACTGATATTTATTTATTAATATATATTCAATTTTATCCAATTTTATTATTATTATTTTTTATACAAATGATATTCTACTTTAATCTAAATTACGGGGAGGTAGTTTCGAACTTGGCTAAGCCCATATATTCATATCCAGTCTTAATTTATTAATATTCAAAGATTTTGCATACTAGATTAAGTAGAAAAATATTTGTAAATAATATTGAGAGGGTTGGAGCAGTCCGCGCCGCATTGAGCTAGAGTTTAAACACTTGATCTAATCCCTACCCCACGCAAGGCCAGCTCTCCCATGGCTATAGTATAGGCCAAAACGGACTTTGACCCATTGAATTTGGGCCGGCTCTCCAGCTCTCTCTCTCTCTCTCTCTCTCTCTCTCTCTCGTAAGACCATTTATAGGTTTCCGGACTTTCCCCTTGCTCTATACAGGTTCCATCATCAAAAACATTGATCATACCTCTTAAATGTAAAGAGTTGTGGGAGGAATTCAAGGAAAACACCAAGGACATTGTTTTGAAGGCCATAGCTGAACAGGTATGATATCTCACCAATTAATAAATGGAAACTATTGTGAACTATAAATGGTTTTGTTTGGTCTTCCATAATGTGTTATTTGATCGCCTGCTGTTATGGAGCTATGGTTAAAGTCTGTTTCAGGTTTTCTTTAGGTTTAGATAAACTTACTCATGAATGATGCGTTTCATCAGCTTAAAAATCTCTCTGAATTTAACTTACTGACAGTCATCCCTAGTCCATTAATTCAACATGTTGTTTTCCTTTTCAGAAGGCCAACGCGCGTTTTCAACTACCTCCTTGGGCAATTGGCTGTTTGATTTTCGTGGGATACAATGCCATTACGAGACTAATGAGGTACACACTAGTTCCCCTACACTACACAGGAGGATATAGATGATGTTCTTTCTACCATATATATATAAAATTACCTCTACCATGTTCAAATTTATTCCTCCATGGATGCAGAAATCCTTTGTATCTGGGTGTGGGTGTCATCCTTGTTGCTTTTTTACTCGTCACGCCCCTATGGTGCTGGTTTGCCAGTCTCTGGTGAAATCCGCAAGGGTTCTGTGAGTGAGTGTCACATTTTGTTTTAATTATTGTTTGTCACTCTCCCTACTCCCTCCCCCCTTAGTACTATACGTATAGACACTGGTACTCCGTGTATAGCATGCTTTTTGCCTCCACGGCTAGTGATTTTAACATTCCTCGTTTCACCTCCTGCACTCCTCAGGTGAGTGTAGAAAGAATTTTTTTATATTTAGTTTGGAGTGCAACTGGCTAAAACAGGAGTGCCAAAATTACTGGTTTGTGGGGATTCTGGACACATACTGAGTCGTTAACTTGCTCCTTCATAATAGTTTTGTTACGATTTCAGGTGAGGGTAAAGAGTGAAAAGACAACTTAGTGGGCTTGGTGTGGTATGCTCTTGGAGAAATGGTTGCAGGGCCCCGATCGACTTTATTTCAATCAACCAACAAAAACTAAAAACTAAATCTCAATTCCACTTGATTTTGTTTTGTACTGTAACAAGGGACAAGTATATGTGTTGTATTGTAATTTTGAATTTTATTTTGTATTGTTATTTCTTGTTCTAAATTGAAGACTACAACTATATAGCTATCATACTAAATTTATTTATTTTAGTTTCTCTAACGATTTCTTGCAACTTAATTTAATCTATGTTTCGCAATTTTTTTAGTTAGTTTTAGAAATAATATTTTGGACGAACTTTTTTTTTGGGGTGAGATGGTGGGAAGAGCCCCAAAACAACTACACAGCAGTAATGAAGCGAGTCCTATGAATTCCCATCAGATCCCCAAAACAACTAACTTTCTTCAGTCTAGGGAGAGTAAAAGTTGTGCTGTGTCAGTCTAATTATCCCAAATTGCTGGTGGGGCTAGCATATCCTTGCGAGTGGTTCTGCCCGTGATTATAGCATTCCCAGCACCAACGCAAGGCAGCCCTAATTTAACCCTTAGCCCACGCCACCACCAACGCAAGTGAAAATCACCAGATCACAAAAAGAAAAGTACCACCTTTTCAATACTGTACTAGGGTGAGGCTTACGTCACTACAACACAAAAACCATTAAAGGACACGAAGTCCTAATTAAGTTGGACTATCTTATCTTCTTGTCGCCATTATCGGCCACAAAGTAGTGGCATGCATTCTTACTTAATTACCTTTTAATCTTCATTTCTGACTTGGTTTAGGATTGACAAAAACATCACTCCGGTGAATAATGAAGCTAAGTTTTTGAAATTCTGCTACTGTTTTGAAGCTTAATCAGAGAGCAAGCTTTACAAATGGGCACTGATTTTCCCGCTTCCCTTTTATTCACTTACATTTTTTATTTAAAAAAAAATATTTTAAAAACAATTTTGTTGTCTTTTATTCTCTTTCTTTCCTGTTCTATCCTTACTCAAAATTAATTTATTTTTACTTTATTTTTATTTCTTTTTCTTTATACTTAATTTCCATATGCATTCCATTTTCAATAGTGTTAATTATTTCTTACTCGATGAAAGGAAAAACAAAATATCAATGGTGATCAAAATTCTCGGGTGGTTTCAATCGATGGGCTATATCAATTAATCTTAATGGAATTTTTTTTTTTCTGTTTTGTTGCTTAATTCTTGAGTGGTATGAATCAGACAATGCCCAGAATTTAAATTCAACTATTTTATTATTATTATTATTTTGAAAACTTATGGGTCGTTTGGATTAGATTTGAAGAAAAAAGGGATGTTGTAGGCCTTAGTTGAAGTTTGAACTGTTTAAATTGATATGATTAGGATTAAGTTCCTTAATTATTTGTTAATATGTTCTAGGTTTGTTTTCTTTGGCTTTATATTCTTAACTATGATGATGAGAGTTTAACAAATTTAGGGAGCATATATAGCTAGTTCTTTATGATTGTAGAACCCTTATTCAGACCAATAAAATAGTTGTCAGTAATTGGTTCCTAATTATATATATATATATATATAAAGCAAAATGCAGAGAATGGTGAAACATTCAAAATACCAAAAAATGCCATTGGTTAATGCAAACATTAATAATTGAAATTATTAATTAAATGAGGATAATATGGTAAATTCATACTTTTACATATTAAAAAAATTAAAATTAAAATTAAAAGAAAAATTAGATAATGGACTCTATTGTTATGGAACACAACTACCCATTATCTTTTTGAATAATGTTACTCTTACCACATTTGTATACCACATTTTCATACCACCTTATGTGGCAGATGAGGTGGACAGCCACATATCAATTAAAATTACTTAACATTTTCTTTTCTTTTATGATTTATTAACGCTTTAAAAAAAATTGTCAATTAAACTTTCTTTATTAAAATACACTTCATTGATTTAATTGATGTGGCATATGATATGGACATGCCACATCATGTAGTATAGAAATGTGGGATAAAAATGTGGTAAGTGTAGCATTACTCTATCTTTTTTAATTCTAAAATAAATTTAAGAATAATACTAGTCTTACCACATTTTTTATACCACATGATATGGCGGCTGTGTGGTGGCTGATGTGTACATACCACATCATGTAAAATACTAGTTTCTGTTTTTCTAATTTTATTGATTAAAATACACTTCATTCATTTAATTGATATGTCATATGATATGGACATGCCACATCATGTGGTATAGAAATGTGGGATAATAATGTGGTAAGTGTAGCATTACTCTAAATTTAAAACTTCTATAAAAAAAGAGTAATGCTACACTTACCACATTTTTATCCCATATTTCTATACCACATGATGTGACATGTCCATATTATATGCCACATAAATTAAATCAATGAAGTGTATTTTAATTAAGACAATTAGAAAAACAAATACTGGAATAAATCATAAAAGAAAAGAAAATATTAAATAATTTTAATTGACGTGGCTGTCCACCTCAGCTGCCACATAAGATGGTATAGGGATGTGGTATACAAATGTGGTAAGAGTAGCATTATTCATAAAAAAATGCCTCTTGCAGACGTGAAAGCCCGTGCGAAGAGGCTAGTATATAGATTATAAACTTACCGTTTTTATAGTTTTTCTATAAATAAAAGTACACATATCATATACAAAAAAATACATTTAACATAAAACAAATAAATATTAAATACAACTAAAAATACATATTATCAAAATGAATATATGTTCAACAACATAATTGAAAGAGTACCTATTCAAGTTGTGCCATGCAATCGTTGAGAGAATTGAAATATTTTGTTATTGCATTTAAATCGATATTGTCATACACCTTTTTTTCAATATAAACAATCATAGAAGAATATTTTCCTAGTGTGAATAGTGGGCCAAGAACAGCAGGTAGGAGAAAAGTTGTACTGTGCGTCAGTGCAAGGGATTATCCCAAATTGTGACTGGTTCTGCCCGTGATTATAGCATTCCCAGTACCAACGCACGGCAACCCTAATTTAACCCTTAGCCCACGCCACCATCAACGCAAGTGAAATGGTATAGGTATAGCATTATCAGCCAAGCCTTGGTGTCTTGGAAGGGTCTAAGATTTGAAATGGTATCTTCTAACATCAGTCCCCAATTGCATATAAATATTATGCAGCATTATTTGAATATTGACTCTTTTCCTATCCAATAATGCCGAGTTTTGAATTTTGAATTTTTTGGGCTGGAATCACTTACCAGACAACATGCACTGAAAAATCTTTACTTTATTAGAAACGAAAAGGCAGAAATACATATTATGTCCAACACAAAATGATCCTAGGGAAAAAACCAGAGACAAAACAGCAGAAATACATATTAAGTCAACACTTTCTCTCTCTCTCTCTCTCTCTTAAAAAGTACACAACGAAACGAACTCACACATGGGCATGGATACCATAGCTTCATGGCTGTGTCTTCCTTTTTCTCAGAAAGGTGGTGGGTGGTGCAGATTTCGATAAAAGAATAAGTCTTTAGGTTTCTTTTCTATTTCGTTTAAAAAAAACCATCAAGTCCGTATAAAAATAAATTTAGGGTTTCATAAATAGGAGAAAACATAGATAGATAGAGTATAGAGATACCGTAAGCAATAATTTGATGAGGTATTCAACACTGAAAAAGTGTATATAATATTAAAATAACCGAGCCACTAGCAAACATATCTAACAACTGTGTCAAGTCAAACCAAAGTTCAAAAATTTATTGATTCCAAAACCAGGTACAAAAAAACTATGGACCAGTAATCCACCAAATAAAATACATCTAAAGACAGCCTAAATAGAAACTTGACAAGCAGAAACATCTCCGAATCCAATGTTATTGACTAAAATCTGATCTTCTCCCAAGGCTCCTCCATACGAACCCTGGAATAGTCCTCAGAAATACACTAAATTACCCAAACCCTTTTTTCCCACTAAGTTTGACTAAGCCACCCAAGTATTCCCACAAGGTTTTTAACTTTATAACTATCCCTATTATGACTTTTTCTTTCTATTGAATTTATTCCAAGTATGTATTTGTTACTCCCTTGTGAGATTCTTCCTGCTCATTATGTAATTGTCTATCTCTTTGTTGTAATTGTTAACCTGGTGTATTTTTAATTTTATTTTATGAATTTCCATATATGTGATTCTCTATGGTTTGATTAGTAGAATTAATAGACTGCTCAATTTGTTTCGGTTTATAATGAATAGTCAAAATTTTTATTTATTTTATGTTTTGGTATGTCTTGTAAGTTTGAATTTTTATTGTTTATATTTTACGAAAGGCCCCCATGTTAGACGTGTAGATGTCTAACCCATTAAAGTGTGGTCTTATAATCATTAAAGGATTCTAAGACTTGATATCAATTAGGAGTTCAAGTGCAACTAAACCTGCAGCTCTATTTAAGTTAGTGTTTTAAGGCTAATATAAGAGCTAAAAGGATTCCTATTTAATTGTGGATTAGAAGTTTTAAGAGTTTCTTGATGGGCAAAACTCTTAGGTTGATGCATATAAATACAAGTGCCCCGCTCAACCGATTAGGCCAACCCACACAAAAGAAATTCACCCCATCTAGAATGAGTGTATGAAGGGATCGGATTGAGGAGATATTCTTGATGTGTGTTCTATCAATGTGCAGTCATTATAGTTTACATGTAGTATCAGAGCCTAGGCTGCATATCTTAAAACTAAAAAATTTCTCCCATCTTTTTCTGCCAAATGCGTTGGATATTTTGATTAGTTTATGGAAGCAATCGACAGTGAATGGTGTACAACTTTCTGCTCCATAAACTCGTCTTAGATTATAAGGATCCGTCTCCACCACCTCCCTCTAAAACCCTAGCTTCCAATTCTCAAAACTCTCCCAAAATCACTAGACTGCTACCGATAATGGTAATTCAAATGACAGCAGCAAGACTCTTCCTCTTAGACCT